GTTTGAGTCTTAGAGCGGCCACTTTGTATCAGAAAATGCTAAAAGTCAGGATTGCATTCAGTTTACCCCGCCAGATAGCTGGGACCAATATTGGGTAATGGCCTTTTTTCATCATTACCAACTTCTCTTGAAATGCTTCATTTCCCTCTGGCTAATCAGGAACTCATCAAAGAGTTCCAACCCTAAACCTCAACTTGGTAACCATATAAATAATGGTTTTAAACAAACGCGACCCAAGTCTTAATGCTCATTTGGGAGGGCTTTCATACAGAAGCTTTGGGCGTTGCATGAGCCAAGAAACCCAGAAAGCCCTGAAGCCCTGTTTGGTAAAAATCCAGAAAGTTAAAAATATAGGCTTACATGAGCCCAAAATTTTTTACTTTTCCCAAACGGGCTCTTAATTGCAATTTCTTCTTTCTTTCTTTCATCCCTTATCAATGCAGCAGCATGAGTTGGTTTGTATCGGTAAGCTAAGATGTAGGGGTGATCATTTCTAGCCTGGCCAAGCCTGGAAAATTCCAGATCCATCCTAGGCCCAGCCCAGTCTATAATTAAACTTTAATGTCATAAGCCCACAAGTCCGGCCCGGCCCATTATCACCCTACTAATATGACCATCGGGGGTGTCAAGTTATGGATGGATTTAAAGATTCTACCCAAGCTTTGCAAATTCCGACATTCAACAATTGAATGGCACGAGTCACGACTCACGAGACACGAATAACAGTAAAACGAACGAAGTACTTTTCCACTTTTCCTTTCCAAAACAAACAAATAAACCAGACAATTGGATGGCACGAAAAAGTAAAAACAGTAAAGACATTGTCAGCATGTTTGGATGCCACCTGCATTGAAATGATCCCATTGTCAATTTCCAATGTATTTGACGCCACAACTGACAAAGTCACCACCTAAAATTATTTGTTAAGAGGTCATTTTAAGGCTTCCAGGAATGAATTCATTTCCATCTTTTCTCAACAACCAAAAGTGGATCCTTTTTTTAGTTAGAATTTTATTAAATCGTGGTCCAAATGTTCAGAAAGCTTAATGAAATTATTTAATTTCACATGGCATCCAAACATACTATTGGTTACTTTATTTAAAATTACTGGTCCAAAAATGAGGCAGACCCACAAGGCCATTACTCAATGTTGGTCTCATCCATCTGGGGTTTTTGGCATTTTTCGCACAGACTCAAATCCATATTCACACACTCGTCAGTCTGAGATTTAACCATTACACCAAAGTGGATAATGTAGTTTCAACTTTCAACTGCCATATCATTGGATAAGAAGACAAATTACACTAATCACTTATGGAGTAAAATCCATTAAATTAAGTTTGAATGTTTGATGGGTATTTAAGTATTATTCTGATGGGTTTCTTTCAACTTGCTTCAGTTGTTTATTTGGTTAATTTAATCCGTTTTCTATTTAATAGAGGATACCTCACCGACATTGGAGAGTGGAGGCCAACCCCTTTTAATATAGGGGAAACCAAAGGCATAATTAGAGGTGAAAATTCTTGGCCCAATCTCTCAAAATTTCAGGGTTGGGTCATCCGGCCTAAGCCAATTTTAAGCATGGGTTGGGTTGAAATTAAACATTGCTTAAACAGTTAAACCAACCTGGACCGGCTTGACTAGGACCTGATCTAACCCAGATTCTCTACAGAAGCACCTGGTTTTCTGCCGGCTGCCGTGCTCCTCCAAGGTTGTGAAGTCAGGCTGGACTCGGCTGTCGGCACTTCCAAAGCCCACCGGGCACCGGGACTTGATTCTACCCAAAAGCCTGACCCAATCCAATTCTCTGGCACCTCTGGTCCTCTGCCAGTCAGCCATTCGACAGCAGGCGTACTTTACTTTGGTGGGTAGGGGGGTCCATTACTTTCAGATTGGGCTTCCAAACCCTGGACTAGTCTGAACTGTCTGGTGGTGGTGGGGGTAGTAGTGAACTGTACAGACACAAGTACATATCACCAAGTAAAGTCATACAGAAATAATTTAATCACAATAATCACTCATTCACTCCCCCACACATGTTCAGAATACTCATAATGGAGTAATATGAGTCTTAATTAGCTAAATATCTAGCTGGACCAACTAAGTCTCCTAGACTAATTTCATATTTGCTTTTGTATTCTTTCTAAACTGAGCCAGAGAAAATTACTTCACATTTGCAATGCAAAATACCCCTTTTAATTAGAACTTTATTTTTTTATTTTTTATTTCTTGGGATGAGTGGAATAGATTGTGGTTTTAAGGCTATGGAAGAGGATTTACAGAAGACCCATTATCTTTTCTGTAAAGCCCAGTCTATTTCTCCTTTGTAACAAGCTAGTTGTCTGCTCACGGGTCTATTCCATCACAAACTGATTACTGTGAATTTATTATTATTTTATTGTTAAAATATTGATATGGGCACATCAGGTTTTTAATAAATTGGGTACAACCTTGTATGAAGACGAAATGTTTGTACTTATAAAGACAAAGGAGGGCATCTTTTGTCCCTTTTGGCATTGGATGTGCCCTTTTCTTTTGCTAAAGATAGCTTGTGCCATAATCACCGCATCCTTCTTACTTGGTTTTTTTTTTATGGATTCTTACTTCTTGGTTGGATCTATGCAGAGAAATCTAAATGGGTGAGAGCTTTCCGTTTTTCTTTAAGATCACAAGAGCCTAACCCTAGTTTGGCAAGAGGCCTCTGTTGTTGGGATGCATTTGGCAGTCTGGGGCCCCATAACCTATCATTGTTATATTCAGTGGATTAGACCCAGTGGCTGAACCGGTGGCTCCATCTGACAGAATGTCTAGTCCAAAAATTCATTTTGATTGGATCACAAATTGTAATAGAAATTGTTTCTTCTTTGCCTCAAATAAATACCGTAAGAAAATATAGGTGTAATAATAAATAATCTATTGAAGATTTCTAGTAGGCAAGACCCAATCATTTTGCAGGGTTTGATCCTCAGAACATGCAACACAGAGAACCCAGACTGTTCTGTACTAAATATGGTGTGTCCTTGAAGTTGAAGGCCTGAGCCTAAGCTTTTCCCAGCCGAAAAATTGCTGAACTAAAAGCATCTTACCTTTATCAACATTGGGCACAGTGTAGGTACCTTGAAGATGGTGAGGAACTTTAGTTACTATCTTCATCCCATTCATCCCAGAGAAAGAGAGAGTAGTAAATAGTTAAGTTGCACTGGATGCTGCGTGAAGCCAATCCCTTTCATTACAGGCTGCATTTGTTTATCTGCAAACTGTTGATGAAATTTCTCTCTACAGCAAGTGCTTTGTTTTCCACACCTAATTTGTTTTGATGCAAATAGCAAGAAAAACAAAGTTTTCATTGTAAAAGGACCAAAGGAAGATACAGCCCGAATGATTCAAGCTGAAATATTTTCAATTCATTTTACTCGTCTTTTTTCATCCCATTTGAACCCATAAAATCTAAAATCACTCATCTACGATGGGGTTATTTAACTCACTCTTATACAACTGGAAATGGCTTCATTTCTTTAAATCTTGAAACAAACTCATTTATAAACCAAGGATCCAAAAACACAACTGGCAAGCAGAGAAAAGACAGAAAGAGAACAAGAAAAGAAAGAAAAAAAACACAAGAGATTTACATGGTTTGGCTTATAGCCACTATATAGCAGTAGGCATTACAATCACAGTCTTCACAGCTTCTCTCACCAAACCCTGACTCCCCAAACACCCGAGAGACCCTCTCACACCCATTATGCCTCACACACTCTCAAACTCTGCTTTTTCTTTCTTCTCAAGATACAACTATACAAGATAGCTTGTGGGCCTAGTTGGCATAAGCCTCTCTGCTTCCACCACAGACCACTATGAATTTTCCCTTCAGTTTTTTCTCAACTTTAATTGGAGCGGGTCATGGATCATATCGCAACTAGAATTCAAAGGCACCAATCCATTTCATTTTAGGTGACCTCTCCTCTAAAGAAAACCCTTTTTGAAGGTCTTGACTTTTAGGATGCCTTAAACACGAGAATTGAGTAATTTACAAACAACTGCCAGGATTCAAGTATCCATAACAAAAACCAATACCAAAAACAGAAACAAAAGCCCCAAAAAAGTTTAAACTTGATGAGAATTCTTTGGTGGTGTTGACTTTTAGGCTGCCTTAAACACGAGAATTGAGTAATTTACAAACAACTGCCCGGGTTCAAACATTCATAGCAAAAACTAAAACTAAAAACAGAAACAGAAGGCCCCAAAAGTTAAAACTTGATGCAGTAGCATGTCAACCTGTTTGCATCAGATTTCAACAAGCTGCATTCAAGTACTCAGCCCATTACTAATACCAGAGTAACCAGACAACTGGCTTTGATCATGCCTTTGTCTGAACCTGATTAGTTGACTAATTAGTGGACTTGTCGCTCTCCATCAAGGCAATAAATGACCCATCACATGTGATTTTGGGTACAGACAGTAGGCTCCAGATAAGAAATGGCATGGCATCTACTGGTACCCTCTTGGCAGAAAGAAACTATGGATTGCAGAGACCATTGCACCTTGCGAATCTACTAAGATCAAACTAAGCATGGATGTTCTTAAGTCAACCTGAGGTTGCTTAAGAGTGATGCATAATGCACATGCAAAAGTGAAAATTTGATGCCATCCTTCCATTCTCGTCCACATTCATGTCCCCCCATTTTCAGAGCTTTGAAGCAGGAGAAGAGAAGCTTCCTGGTCAATGGTATTAGGTTTGGAACAAATCTCCAAGACCCCATTTCTCTGAGATGAAAACAAAGAAAAAAATTATTAAAAACAGAGTCTCACCCCTCTCCACGTCTCTATACATTTATCTCAAAGAAAGTAAAAAAGTTTGTTGGAAAAATACAAAAAACCCCTCTTTTTGTGGGTGGGATCATCACTCATCAGTGTAACAGAAACTGAGAAAAAGGTGGAGTTTGATTGGTTCCAAAAATATATACAGATGGGGGTACATGGACAGTTATTATTTACTCATTTGAACTTCTTCAGAGCCTGTTCCTTCTACGTCGCTTTCACCACGGAGACCAAACTACTTTTCTGCACGCAATCTTCCTTCCTATCTTCATTGATTCCTACTGAATTTCTATTGTTATAATTAATATTCTAACACCCTTGGAGCTGAGGACAAAATACACCTTGAAAAGTGACAGCAATAGGCAAACACAGTTACCTTCTTTTGCTATATTTTTCTTAATCTAGAGATATCTTTATCATAAAGGACTCTGTTTTTCTGGATTTTTTTCCCATATTGTTTCAACGTTTTGTTGTTTGGTTCCACAGGAAAAGAGTGGCTTCACCTTAATCCATTAACGATTCTCTGAAGTGGGGTTTTTGATTGCCTCACCTTTAGAATGGAGAAGTTGTTTTTTATTCCTTTTCTTCTTCTTCTCTCTGTTCTGGTTTTTCCTTCTCTGTTCCATGGAGGAGTGGCCGGTGCTGCTGGAACCAAGGATGGATCCGAACAGTGGGGATATGTTCGAGTCCGACCCAGTAAGTCTCCCGCTTTATACTGTTAAACTGAATATTTGATAATCTTAGCGCAAGTATGCTGAGACAAAAATTTAATGGAATTGTTTTTCTGTTCTTCTTCCTTTATGGTGTGATGCAGAAGCCCACATGTTCTGGTGGTTCTATAGAAGTCCGTACAGAGCTGAATATCCTTCCAAGCCTTGGCCCATAATTCTGTGGTTGCAGGGTGGCCCTGTAAGTATTTATTATTTTAAATTCAATGAACAAATATCAGAAACCAAGATATTTGCTTCATTTAATCTCCCACACCTGAAATTGAATTTCTTGTGTTTCGAGTACTTACAGGGTGCTTCAGGAGTTGGAATTGGAAATTTTCAAGAGATTGGACCACTGGACACAGATCTCAAGCCAAGAAACTCGACTTGGTTGCAAGTAGCTGATCTCTTGTTTGTAGTAAGCCATGTTTTCCTCTCAATCTCTGTCAATTCTGTGAATGAACAAGGACTGTAATGAAGCAGATATGTTCTAAATGTTTGTTAATTTTCTTGGCGTAATGTAGGATAACCCAGTTGGAACAGGATACAGTTTTGTAGAGGATGAAAAGGTAATGGTGAAAACTGATGAAGAGGCAGCAACTGACTTAACTACCTTGTTGAAGAAACTCTTCAATAGGAATCTTGGGCTCCGAGGAAGACCTCTGTACATTGTAGCAGAGTCTTATGGAGGGAAGTATGCTGTTACTCTTGCACTGTCGGCTTTAAAAGCTATTGAAGCTGGAGAATTGAAGCTCAAACTAGGAGGTAATTGGGTTATGGATTGATTTTGGTTTTAGTAAAATTTATTTCTGATGAATCACTGGAAAACATAAACACTGCTTTTAGAGCAACGAGTGGAATCGTTCTGGATTTTTATTTTTCCTTTTTTGGTTTTCAATTCTATTTTGGACACAGGAGTCGCTTTGGGAGACAGTTGGATCTCCCCTGAAGATTTTGTGGTGAGTGGTGGCCTTGAAATCATCAGTTTCCTATAACTTATCAGATTAAATGCATCTATGTTTGCTCTTCTTTGAAGCTATCAAATTTTTCACTAGATGTTAAGCTTCTTAATGTGAAAATTGCAGATTTCATGGGCTCCTTTGCTCAAAGATTTGTCACGGATTGATGACAATGGAGTGAAGAAGGCAAACAGGTCCCATTAATTCTATAAAATCTTGAAAAGAAGAATGAGTGAATATAAAAAATTAGTGTAGCATATTTGATTTCTCTAACAACCCATTTCACAGAACAGTCTTGTTCAACGGATTAAGCAGCAAATTGCATCAGGCCTTTATGAAAATGCAACAGATTCATGGGGTGAGCTCGAGGACGTGATTATTACAGCCAGTAACTTTGTGGTACTACTGTCTCTGTTGCCTTCTGTCTCTTCACCACTATAATTGATTTTCATCAAAGTTTTCAAAATTGTGATGAAATTCATTTGGGTACTGCAGGACTTCTACAATTTTATGCTGGATTCAGGAAGTGAAGACATTTCTACAACAACCATGGAATCATCCAAGGCAGCGGTGGTGAAGAAGTACTCAAGATATCTCAACTCCAAGAGATTTTTTGCAGGTGGAAATGGCGATATTGAAACACTGATGAATGGAGCCATCAAAGAGAAGCTCAAGATCATTCCCACAGATGTAAAGTGAGTCTTTGTACATTGAAGCAAAGTAATTTGTATTTAAGAGTATTCCTACTAATTAATTTTCTTGGGATATTGCTTCCACTTGGAAGTTACACTCTTATCATCTTTTATATGTTTGGGTTACTTCCTGCAGATGGGGAGAGCAGTCAGGGTCTGTTTTCTCAGCTTTAGAAGGTGATTTCATGAAACCAAGAATAGCTGAGGTACTGATCAAACATATCAACCAAAAAGTAGTAATTGTAAATAGGAATTTAACTGTAATTAACTCATATCTAACTTGTAGTGACACCAGTAAAAGATCATATAATTATGGAATACCCTCTAATGGATTCTTAATCAAAATTTATAGTATAAATTAATCGAATCAAAATATGTTAAGATCTTACTGATGTTGCTTGTTTCATGGACAACACAGCATTTGATGTTTCTTACAGTGGATTCTCTTCTCATCCAGAGTTTTTTTCATGACTGACTTGAACAAAAAAAAAATTAAGAGATGGTCTGATATATGATTTTTGTGAACAGGTTGATGAACTTTTAGCTAAAGGGGTCAATGTGACAATATACAATGGACAGGTATCCATCCTTAAGTGTTTTTCAAGGATTCAGCACCTTAAATATCTACTCGGTTGGGTAAGGTTTGGACCACCCATTTGTATTTCTAGCCATAAAAGTTTGTATTGATAGTTGGCACTTGGCATTTACCTCCCCCCCATGTGAACCAATGAATAAACTTTCAAACATGTATAGGACAAGTTAACACCTTCTAATGAATTTCCTGTTCACATTGTTTTTTCTTCATTTTGATGGGGTTGTTGTAGCTTGATCTCATATGTGCAACCAAAGGAGCTGAAGCATGGGTCCAGAAACTCAAGTACTCTCTCTCTCTCTCTCTCTCTCTCTCTCTCTCTCTCTCTATTTATTAAAATTATTGATCTTAAATCAGGTGGAGTGGGCTGAAACAGTTCTTGAGCTTGGACAGGACCCCACTTTATTGTGGGAAGGACCATCAAACTACAAAAGGGTTCACCAGGTCATACAAGAATCTGCATTTTTATTGGATACTTGGGGCGGGTCACTTTGTAAGTTGTTCCATTCATCCATGTATCATCATCATCATCATTAATTCACTATCATCTTCATTTTCGTAGTCACTGTCTGTGTCATCTCTGAATGAATCTGAGGAGAAACACTAATAAAACAACTCCCAACCGGCTACTCCACTTTGGATTCCGTGGGTTTCTTTCTACTTTCAGAACAACCATTTAAAGAATCTCAAGTCTCAACCCGCCAGATTGTTAAAACATCAGTAGACTGGAGACTGGAGTGCAATTAATGGACTGAGTCTCGAGCTACCAAATCAGACCTCTTTTGAACAACTCTCTCTGAGTTGATTTGGTAGCTCAGCCAGTCACCATATTAAATACCATAAGAGCTCGTAGCACCAACTCAGGGATCGAATTTGAACTGGGGTTCTTTCGAATCCAAAAGGGTCTTCTGATTTGGTGGGTGGTTGAGGCTTGAGAGATGAGACTGCGTACTTCCTCGTCAGGCAGCAGGCATTTTTGTGGTCAAAGCTGTATGATCGTGGGAGACTTGATGAACAGCAAACTATTTGCCTTTTTTTAGTACTTCCAGTTCCATATCTGAACGTTATTGAATGATCGAGATGTGGGTGCAGGTGCCTGTAGATCAGCCCTGTGTTGCATTGAAGATGGTAGCTGACATCACACACTCTCCAGGTGCTGCTCTTCTTCCTTGAAACTAGAACAAAGCAACCAAAAGACAGACAGACAGACAGACAGAGAGAGAGAGAGAGAGAGAAAAGAAAGAGAATTAAATGACATTACAACAGTATAAGGAGAAATGGAGTAAACACATGCAAATAATAGCATGGATGATGGATGGGTCAAGGTAAGACACTTGCAGCCACGCAGTGGAGACTGGAGGAAGAAGACAGACAGAAGGAAACGTGGAGAGATAAGTACTGAATAAATGTCATCTCTTTTTCTTTTTCTTTTTTTATAATTCTTTTCTGATTCTCATTGATGATTTTCTGAATCTTCTTTATTTATAAATATAAAATTCAGTGGAAAATAAAAAAAAAAAAACTTTTAATTGTTAATATCTTGTTCTTGTAAATGCCGGCATTTGTGTTCCCCATGGATGATGCCCAAAAGACTGGATATCTTTTTATTCATTAAATCATCTCTTAATCTGTTGCTTTGTTATGAACAAATTAAATTTTCATTAATTAGTATCACAAAAAGTCCTACAGAAGTTGGTCGATTCAACTCACTTAGGCTGCAAATGGTATCTGTTTATCCGAATTAAAAATGGAGTGCAATCCAATTAAGGTCTTTTTCTTTGAATTAAATTAAACATGGATCCATGAAAATTTTTTACATATATATCTATATGTGTATTTATATATAAAAAATGCAAAAAGAACTAGAGCATTTCTAAGGGTGAAGCAGTGAAAAATTGAGATACCAATAAATATGCCAAGAAAATTTAGGGTGCATTTATTAATACATATTAATTATACCGTAAATCTAGATATCAACCAATCACATTAAATTCTGCATATTTTTCATTAATTCATATTTCACAAATTATAGCTTCAAATTTAATTGAGTATATTTTACCATCACATTTAACCAATCTGTCTTTTGTTGTAGGTGCACCATAGATTTTGCCTAAAGTGATGAATCTGCTTAAGCAGAAGTTTGGCCCCCCTGGGTTTATCCTTGGGCTTGCATGTGTGTATGACAGTGCATATGCAACCTTGGAATCCAGGTTTTATCCACATATCGTATTTGCAGTCATGCATTGGGAATATCTCCACATGAATATATAAAAACATGCAAATACGGAGAAATTCTCAATTCATGGCTGCAAGGATGGTGTGAGAATGGATTTTGTGAGGATGAAATCCAGATTCACAAACTTGAGCCTGAGAGAATAGGAAGGATTTGAATTTGCTTATAATGCCTAATTTATTTTTTCATTTGATAATTTACTTGGATAGGTAAACTTATCCGGGTAAGTTTTTTTTTTTTCCCGGGAAACACTTGGTAAATACATTTATCATTTTAGCCATAAAAAACTATTATTAAAAGGAACAATTTTGTCTGTCATGCATTGACAACTTCCCCGTGAGTAAAAAATTATTTAACCACATGGGAAATGGGTATCGATTACATGGATTAGTGATACTAGGGAAAATAATTTGTTATAAGCCTTAAATGAATATGAAAAACAAACATGATATTTGAAAACAAAATCTCATTGACTAATTTTTCCCTTAAAAATCAAGAAAAGTAATGGGGCCCAAGAGAAATGTGAACAACTAGAAGACATTGGTTTTGCTTAACCAATTAACCCCACCTATTGTATGCAAAGATTGATTAAAGAAGAGATTCATGGACTTTTGAAAAGAAGCCCCCTCTCTTTTACGTGTCACACATATAAGATAGAGCTAAAGCGCACAATCATGCACCAATCATCCTCAACAAAATAGGAGTCTAAATCTGCTGCATCTTTTCCCTCCACTAATTCATACATACTAATTAGAAAAATGTGAGAACGAAGTTAGAAGGAGAAATAAGAACTAAATATAAATGAATTATCTTCTATCAAGACTTTTGTTTTGTAAAAATTTCCTTAACTTTCCCTTTTTTTTCCTACTTTTTCCTTCAGGAAGCCATAAAATCATTTTCCTATCACCCTCTATTCGGTCTTGTCTTGGTAACAAATTGAAGTCTCCAAATATCAGGTCAAAATTGACAGCGGAGGCCGCAGGTAGAGAGGTAGTCCAAAAGGTGATGATTTTAGCATCTATGTATTAGTAAAATCTTGGACTGACAAGATGTGAAAACACGACTTCAGCCAGTCTGAGACCAGTACTGTGCAAATAAAATATAGATAATGTCTATAGTCAGGCCACCCCCCAAGAGTGGTTGGACCATTTCACACTGAGCCTCAAAAAGTGATTATCAATCAACTGGCATTCTTTTTTTTTTTAATACAGCAGAAAGACTAAGCAAAAACTAGAAAATGGTAAACCTAAAGGCTGCCTTTGGAAATTATGTAAATGGAGTATAAATTCAGGTTAAATTTGCATTCTGGTTTACTTTTATTTGTATTTGGCAATATTACATTTATGCATTGACAAATGACAAAAAATATATTTTTCAATACATATTTACATTGATAATAAGATGTAAAACTGTAAAAGTAGATTAATAAAAAAGAAGTAAATTTTCATTCAAATGGGCTTTTGATAAAAAAGGCATATGCTTTATTGGGATCCGTGTTTACATCCATTACAGCTAAAAGTCTGGTAAAAATGTTAATTTATCCATACAAAACTAACCCAACTTTACAATTTATATGAACCGATTTACGCTCTACATATTTGCATTCACACCAGCCTACCACTTTATTGCCTTCTCTGTGAATGTATGAATTGATTGGCTTCAACATGTCTATCCCTCTATTATAATTTATAAGATTAGAAGAACCTATCTCCTTGGCTATTCTATGAACTTCCAAGCCGTCCCTCATTTTCACACCTATCGAAACCCGCTGGCACTTTGAAATTTCTTACAATACAGCCAAAAGCACAATCTTCATTGATTTTTCTAGAGGTATCAAAGTTGATCTTGACTGCTAATGGGCTTGGGAATCATTTTACCCATATGACTGAGGCTTTATCTTTAACCTCTCCATTCGCTTGCACTTCAATAAAGTTTCTCGCAATATTTTCAAAATCGAACCGGACTGGATAATCGGACCAGAAAAATCAAGAACTAATTTAACCCCAAAATTACTTTTTTGTCAAAAACCGTTGATTTGATCAATAAACCGCTGATCAGTACGGTTTTAAAAACGTTGGTTTCTCCAAACTCTCAAAAGTTTTCTAACTATCTCTGAAAGTTTTTGAAGTTTATTATTATAAATTTTTTCTTTCTTGTTTTTGTAAAGATACCAGGGAGGGTAGCTAGTTTTTAGAGAAGGGTAAAAGATCTGTCTGATTGGTTTTCTATGAGAATGACACACCAAACAATAAGAGATTGGTTGCACTCGACGTTTGGTCACAAGAGACCAAACCCGGGTTGCCAAATGGCAATAGATAAGAATATGGTTGGCATCTTCCTTTTGTCCACAGACTTGATCAAATTTTCCTTTGTTGGAAGCTTTGTCCCTAACAAAACATAGGGGCAAAATACTAAGACCTCCTTGGGGGTTTTTCTGAAAATTACTAAAACCTCCCATTAATTTACAAAAGTGACTCTGACAGTTGCTCCGTTTGCATGTAACATGATGTGCGTGTTATATTATTTTGAAAACCCAATTGTGCTCTTTGATGATTGAATATTAAGTTAATTTTGTGATTTTTGTCTTTGATTTTCTTTCAAATTTTCAAAACATTCCAGTTTAAATACAAAGGCTCTCTTTAGGGGTGTCAATGGACTGGTTTTGGGTTGGACCTTGTCCAAATCAAAATTCATTTGGATGGATTGGACGGACCAATAAGATATATTGTATTGGACCAGTCCAAGCTTAATGCTCTTATGCTTCAAAGTATTTATTAGATTGGGTTGGATTGGATTGGACCTGATCCATTTATAATGAATTTATATTGGATTGGATTGGATTGAACCAATATTCAGCCTATTGATAGAAGATAAGAAAGTTCCAATGGACCAGGTTTGGGTTGGAACCAATCTAAATAAAAACTAATTTGAATAGATTGGATGGTCCAAACATTAAATTGGATCAGTACAACTGTACAACATGGTCCAGAGCATTCATTGGATTGAAACTGGTCCATCTGTAATGGACTCATATTGGACCAAATCCAGTCCAATTGACACCCCTATTCCCCGCCATCAAACCCACTTTATTTGGGTCTTCTATAAGGATCAACTTGCACGATCTGGGAGATGAAGAGGAGAACCAAAGCCAACTCCATGTCTTGTTGCAAAAAATAAATAAATGAGAGCAAGGAAAACCCGGATATAGCCCCATTAGCTCCTTCTACAATCTCTACAAATGAAAAAGAGAGGATGAAAACTGAAAACAGCTTGAGTTCCAGATCGGAAAGAGGGGAAGCTTATTAACTGTTGCTACCATCATCAACACCAAGTGCATGTTCACAGGTGTCAAGTGACTGCATCGCCGTCACCAGCCGTGTTTCATACCACAGCTTTGTTTTTGTCATAGTGTGGTGGTAACTAAAGCGTGAAACCAAGGTTCAAAATATAGTCATGTATCGACCCATATCGACCGATACGTATCATATCAGAGCCTTCACGATACGCCCCTATAGGGGGTGTTTCGGGCTGGCAAGTGTTTCAAGGGGTAGACCGGCCCCTCTGAACCTGATTCAAAAAAAAAAAACAGTACCGATACAGGTTGATACACCCTATCAGTGTATCATCCTGTACCGATATTTTGAACCTTGCATGCAACCATGCATGTGGCATCAGCCAATCCGAGCTGAATTGAGGACAATGGTGATGTTCCATCCGCAACCAGGCCCATAAATGGGAAATGGAGCAGATGCAGCAACAGTGGGTTCAGAAGCTGTTGTAGAACTGGAGTTACTACCTAAAGTTCTTCCTATACCCTGAAATGATACATGGTGCTTCTCTGGTTCAAGACATTTCTCTCCTCTCCTTATAAGATTAACTTGAACTGGAGATATTTGTTGGCTCAAGAAGAATCCATACCTGATGGAGTCAGGTTCTAATTCTAAGCAAGGTTCAAAGTATCAACACGTATTGGCCCATATCAGTTGATACGTATCATTCCGGGACCCCTCCAATATGCCCCTACAATGGGTGTATCAGAGGTCTGACCAGTTCAAGGGGTAGAGGAGACCTAACCCCCCTGAACCGGTTGCGAAAAAAATATAAAAAAAAAGGACCAAAATGTGTATCGATTCACCCGATACTGATAGGGGCAGAAAGTGGTGAGGAAGATTTGCTCCTGGGTGTCAGTGAATGAGGAATTTAAAAGTCAGAATGTTTCTCTCCTCCTTTGTACTAAATCATGGATGTTCTTGTAATATGTCTTGGGCTCAGGAAGGCCTAATTGGCCTGAGTCTTGTTGTATTTGGCTTTCTTATTAAATAAAATTGCCTTACCTTTTTCAAAAAAAAAGATACTGATAGGGACATATCGGGTATATCAATATTTTAAACCTTCATTCTAAGACGTATATTGAGGCCACAACAGCTCTCTTCTTCCTGGAGAGCCGCAGATGGGATCTCATGGAAAACTACAATAACAGCAGCAGCTATTATAACATCAATGCAGCCAATACAAACCAATCCGCATGTCCTTTGGTTCTGTCTGACACTCTGACTTCAATCTATGATAGCCACATCTTCCCAAGACAAGCTCTCAAAGCCCTCCCCCAGTTTTGGCTTCTCTAGGTTGTTATGTCTTCCTCAACCTCTTTTGGCTTCAGTCTTCTTTCTCCACTTGTGTCGGTGGATATGTCAAAGCAATCCTCCTCAATCAACAATGAATCTACATATCTCAAATACAAGGAGATAGCTTATTATGAAAGGAAAGCTACACAATAAGAGCTGCAATGTCATCTAATAACCCTGGTTCCTGAAAGGTTATAACTTTTTTGTACTGGAAAGTTGACAAGTGTCAACATGGGTTGACTGTTTGTATAGCTTTTATTAGCTTTCATCGACTTGTTTGTGATTGAATGTTAGCATCACTAGCTATAATGGATTTGAAAGAGATAAAAGGAAGAAATTTCTACTCAACTAATTGAAATGAAGAGGGTGATGGTCGAAATGGTGGTAATTGAGGCAAAAGAGATGAACTACAAAAATCCATCCGAAGAATTGCAACGATATTCTATTGTGCATTGTGTTTTATGTAATGGACCATATTTTTCTTCTTTGCTTATTTAAAGCCATTTGACCATTCCATTCAACATGAGCACTACCCATTCAACATGGGCATATCCGCACTCGCTCATGTAGTAAAAAGCTCCAAGTTGGTCCAAGTGGCTTATTTCGACAATTGATTTTTAGCTGATTAAAGATGTTGGGATTGATTTTGTAGCTATTTGATTCATAGGCTTTCCCCACGTATGAAAAGATCTGCATGATGAATCTAAATCCCATCTTCCACCCAACAGGAAATTAAGCATCTAATTGGGCAAATATCTTCCATCCCAAGTATATAGTTGGACGCGAGCATGACCGTAGTTGCATGATATTATGGTGTTTATATTTGGACAAAGGAATTGAACGTTCTTTAAGTTACCAAACGGGATTTCCTACTCACTTTTCCTACCCACTCTCTACCCGCTGTGAATTGCAGCCACACATCTCTATTATGAATTGAGAGATGTGTGGCTGTAATTCATGGCGAGTAGAGAGTGAGTAGGAAAAGTGAGTAGGAAATATGGGTTCTTAAGTTACAGCCTAACACAACCTTCTCCATTAGCTTAGTCGAGGCACAAGTCACAACTCAACAAAGCTGGTGCTCACCCCACATACCTGTACAAACAGAATCCAAAAGGACCAAAACCAAGTCTGCTACAATATGTTGGAATCTGTACAAAAATTGGTGTTAGCACATAGAAAGAGTATATTACAAACTATTCTCAGTTGAATAGAATAGTTAGATCTTGCAAGTTGTTGCATGTACCTGTTTGTTTAGTTCATTACTGTTACACGACTAAGACAAGTTCTTTGAGAAAATAGTCGAAGAGTCTTGACCATGCTGCTTTAAGTACAACAACATCCACAGCAATCATAAATCGTCAAGAACACCCTTGACCATCCACAGAAGATGAAAAATCTTACATTGCAGTTGCAAGTATGCAGTGAAGTGACCCTACCTAGCTGGCTGCACCAAAGCATCTGCCAGAACATACATTCAGACACTTGAACTTTCAAAAATATGAGGTTGCTTGCAAATATACATGTGATGTAATCTTTGAGAACTCAGCATTCTACAAACATGTCATGTGTGGTCCTGTGTATGTTGTTGAGTTCTTATTGTCCTAGTAATACAAAAAGTTTTCCTGTACAGAACATGAAAGTGTTTATTTAGTATATCTGGTCAATAAAAAACTAAAAAAGAAAGTAAAAGAGAAACATACAAAGTTACCTGAGAATACACTCGTTCATTTCATGATTGGTGTTGGTATAGTCTAATCCTTGATGAGCCCTGGAAAATATATTTTAGCATTTATAACCACACATCAAATTGAAAATGTAATATAATTCTTTTGACATAGAAACCATCACCAGACTCATATGAGATCCACTGGGAATGGGTTATTTAAAAAAGTTTACCAGGTAGTTGTGCCTATAAATAGAATCAATGAATGTGAAGAAAATTTTTATTAAGGCATTATTCAATAATCTAAATATGCCACTTGTATATTAGAATCACTAATAAACGAGTTGAAATGCTTATATGTGAAACAATTTGGTGCCCAAAGAAGATTGTGTCAGATATATAAATGGTTTCAATCTACTACCTGAAATGGTTATTGATCAAAAAAAAACCATTACCTGAAATAGTGAAGGTATGGTACAACTATCCTGCAAATCCATCTTGAATGTGCTAAAATTTGATTCAAGTGGATGCCATGCACTTGAATACCTTTTCATTAAGTGTAAAACCATGTTAGACCATGTTAGAAGATGATTCACCATACTTGCATATGCCATCAATGCAAGGAGAGCTACTATTTTCATTTTCAACTTCCATATTCTCAGATGGAAACAAAGATTGACCAAATGTTGTTTGCTTTAAACATGTTGACACATCTTCAAAAAGCTTCTCTCCATACTTCATCACAATCTTATAAGTATCCTGATTACATGCAGCTCTATTTACTATTTGGCTAAGCATATGAAACATCTCTCTTCTACGTATTGCCATTTTTGTATTTGCATCAAAATGCTGAGTGGAGCCATGAGATTCTTCAAATGTGATCATCCTCGCATTAATGGTCCATCTTCTCAATATATAGCATGAGGGTATCAGCTTTATGCGTCTATAATCAAGTATTTTCAATGCATGCCCACATAAGATCCCAACAAATTCAAACTTTTTACAACTACAACTGATTAAATCATTTATTGTGTCAAAGGTAACTTTGTATTGTCGATTTACTCCAAACATGTTAACTATATACTCAGTTGTTGTTTCAGACACAATATGATCTTCTTCAATGCTGCAACTCAGTTGTTTCAATACTTCATCATTAAAAATAGAAAGAACTGGTGGTGTATATATTTGAGCAATATAATTCAAAGTTCCCAATTGTGTTGCCAAGGCTGGAGTGCTTTGTGTTGTTGCATATTCAACTTTTAACTCTTCATAACGCCTATCAGCAACCACTCTCTCAAAATGCTGAAGGAATCTTGACAAAGTGTGTTTCATATTAAGATACTTTTTCAGACAGCTATTCATCCTATCGCTTCTCTGTGCAGTGCTCATGTCAGCAGAAAATGTTTGGCGCCCAAATGCTAAAGCCCATCTATACCTTTTATCATACAATTTTTGCAACCATTCATTCTCTTTAAGCCCATACCTATTGATCATGCTCTTCCATACATTTTCAAATTCATCCACATCCTCACAATCATATACACAGCTGCTGAAATCCTTAGGAAATGTCTTAAATTTCTCGAATACACTATTAAGGTATTTTGTAGCATTTTGGTACATATGCCAAATACATAATTGATGATGTGATTCCGAGAATACTGAATTAATTGCATTTACCATAGCTGCATCATCATCAGTTAGAATTGTTTTCGGTTTTTTTCCACCCATTGTTTTGATAAACACTTTAAACAACCATTCAAATGTATCTATGGATTCATCATACAATAATGCAGCACCAAAAATAATTATTTGCTTATAATTATTCACTCCCACAAATAGTACAAATGGTCGATTTTCTTGGTTTGTTCTATATGTTGTATCAAAGCATATCACATCACCGAAATGGCCATAGTCCACTATCATTTGTGCATCAGCCCAAAACAAATTTGTAACTATGTCATTTTGGTCCAATTGTATTGCATAGATAAAAGATGGGTCTTCTAATTGCTTGACTTCAAAATATTGTAGAACATTGCCTACCTCTCCCTTCTTCACTTTCCTAGTCCGATTTGAATGTAAGTAGTTCTTTTGATCCACAGGGGTGAATCCAATATTTTCATGGCCACTAGCTTCATTGGTCATAAGTTCCATTGATTCTTTTGGAGCTATGTTTGAATCATCTGCAATTGTAACTTGAGTACCCTGTGGCTCATTCACCTTTCTTTGTGATTTTGGCATGTGTACCTTCTTAGGTGTTACAATCATATGATTATGAGTCTCATTGAAAGCAACCACATGAAACCAACCATCTTTACGACGACTTATCTTCATTTCTGCCATACAACCGCATCTTGTCTCTGCTCGAGGTTTCTTGACAATAGGCCTACGCTTATCTTGGAGACGTTTCCCTTCTTTAGAACAACAGAACTTTCTGTATCTCACTTCATGAGTCTTAGAGCATGTTGCGCTACTACCTTTCCGAGCACTAAATCCAACCATTCCAGCATATCTATTATAAAACTCATATGCTTCTTCATCTGTTTTAAACATCATGCCTACCTTTGGGATCCAATCCCCCGGAACAGGGGTTAATTTGTCTTCAAATTTATTCTGTATTCTTAAATCAAGGCCTTTCTCTTCTTGAGTTTTAGGTGAACTATCAACAATAGGTTTTTCTTTATCTAGCTCAATAGGTTTGGATGGTTCATTTATGTCATTATGTTGATCTTTCTCTCCATTTAGTTCAAAACTTAGCTTTCGCATGGAGTGTGACCCAACCTCCATTTTATCTTTGATTATCCTGTTAAACACATAAGAATACAAAACATGCAATCAACTTGATAAAAATATCAATATGGTAATGCAATTTTATCATCAAAGTAACAATTATGCTTACAAAGAATACAAAGCAAGGTATTTTTGGGCATAATTTTAGCATAAAAAGACCAAGAAGGTATGGATATGCAAATTACAAAGTTTTGAAAATTTGGGCATAATTTTTGTAGGATCTTGGAAAAGATTAAATGCTTTTGTGTGTGTGTGTTAGGTGGAGGGAGGGGTAGGATCTAGATCGATAATCCTCCATGCTGGGTTTTTTTTTTTTGCAAAGGTAACTGATTGGAAAAAGCTTATAGATAGTTAAAAAAGAGGAGGTTGCTAGTAAATCTTATTACACCAGCAATAGTAACTATTTCAATTAGGTCTTGTGTATAAGCTCTATTGAATATTGTTTGATAATCATCTTTTTTTGATCGGTTTGTTTGATAATCATTCTTCTGAGATAATTAAATGATTTTCTTATATAATCGAGCTACTATAAGTATCTTTGCAAGTTAGATGCTACCTATGCAATTATTTAATTATATAGCCCTGAACTTTGACTCAACATAGAAGGCATGCAAAAGGGTCGGGTTCAGCTTTGTAGTTTTCTAGCTAGACTGGACCCAGCATTCAACCAGTGTATCAAATACTGAGTTTGAATTAATTTTTTACACGGTTTGAATCCCTAAATACCATAATATTGTCAAAATTTTGATATTTCTGTTTGTTGCATGGTGGGATTCAAACTGAGATTTCATGGTTGCAGTGAATATGTAAACTAATTGAGTTAGAGGCTCACCTCAAAATTGTAATAGTCCTACTAACCGTAGGGATGTGTTAAGATTATTAAAAAAAAAAGTCATAACCAATTTACCACATCAGAGTTTAAATACATATCTATTGTTTATGTTCTGGTAATTTTTTCCTTGTTAAAGTTAAAATTGTACATTCTTTTCATATTTAGGGATGGACCTATGCTTTAAATGCAGTACTACTGAAGGCTACAAGAATATCAGCATAAATGTATGGTAGCTTGTTTGGGTAGCCAATGAATTACCTTTCTCCTACAACATGTTCTGTATGGTAGTTAACACACCGGCATTTGGCTCTGAACAAAGGAACAGATCAAAATAAATAAAGCTTTGATATTGTGTATAAGCTCTAATGAACACTGATACAGGTAAATAAACTCACCAGAAAACTTCGGTCTCCGGTGAGTTTTTGGCCTCCAAGTCCGGCGTGTCATCCGTTGTGCAGAATACAGTTACACTCGTTTTGCTTTGAGTTGAGAGGGTGTGTTACCTGCAAAAGCCACAGGTGTATTGTTGCGCAGAAAATGTCGGCCTCCGGTGATTTTTTTATCCAACTCCAGCGTACTATCCGTTGTGCAGACTGCAGAGTAGAGTTAGGGTTAGGGTTTAGAGATGATGAAAGGGGGTAGGAGTTTAGGACTACAGGAGGCGGGAGGAGAAAGACTGAAAGAGAGCGAATTGTTTTGACTTATGAGTTGAGACTTGAGAGAGAGAGAGCACTAACGGATGAATGGGCTTAACGTGTGATGGGATTCAGTTACTGTAACTCCCGTTCGAACAACCATCATAGCCTTGCATTGGGAATATCTTCCCATGAAATAAAACATAAAAGTACAGAGATGTTCCCGATGCAAGGCCGAAAAAGCTGTTCGTTCGAATACTGTTCGAACGGGCCTTGCAGTGACTGAAGCCGATCTCGCTTAACGTCCATCGTTAGTGATTCGCACATGAGAAGAGTACTCTTGTGTCAAAGGGACACGTGTTGAGTTTTATAATGTTAGCAGGTTATTAGTAGAGTTTATGCTGATAGTGCAGCAAAAATCATGTAAGCACAACATCGAGCCGTATTTATGGAATATCTTTCCATGAATTTAACACAATTGTACAAGAGATATTCCCAATCTGCGTATTGATTTTGTGATCTCAGGATGTTTACAAGATTTTTGCTTTCAGGAGATCCGGGCTCGATGTGATTTCGTTTCAGCACTCGGCAGCAGCAATAAGAAGTCAAGAACGAGCGAAAGAATCGTCTGAGACGATCTCCTCCTCTGCTCTCTCAAAGTCTGAAGTATTTTCACGGCTGCTGTTCTCCAAATTGGAGATTCCTCTTTGTTTGGTTGAAGATCAAAGGAGCCGTTTCATCCATGTTCAAGTCCTTCTGGTATTCCGTCCCTTCTCCTTGTCACCTTTGAGGCTGAACCAATTTTGAATTATAAGACATCGCTTTCCCTTTCTGGCCGAAAAGTTTAATTTGATGTCTCTGTTTCGAAATTTTCTTTTTCGATTTCTTGGGTTCCTTGCTGACTGGAATTTGGCTTGTGGGTAATCAGCGATTCCCTATAAATTGTATTTGATCACTATTTATTATGATATATTTCGTAAATGAGCAGCTGAGTTTCGTGTTCGTTTTACATGGACAATGGAGACTGATGAGACAAATTGCTAACATATCCATAGAGTCACCTTCAATCGCCACTAGTGTGAGCTTCAAGCGAGAGGCAAGCTTTAGGTCCTCTATGAAAGTCTGAGCTTCTGCTTAGACTGGCGAACAGGCTAACAATGGGATTGCATTGCTACTCTGCTTGCCACATTGGACCCTGTCCAATCTCGGATCACAACCCCTACACCTACTTCTCTGAGAGTGCCAGCGCCATCAACATTTATTCTGAACACATTCACATTTCACTTCCATAGGGAATATTGCTATAGATTTATGGCCTCTAGTTCCGATTGATGAGCAACTAGCTAGATACAGGCATTTCCATTCATAACCTTTATGTGCGCTGCTGGCTTGGATTTAAAGTTCTGTTTGAAGATACAAGATTAAGCCTCCAAACTCATACTTCATATGTTCTCTACCTGCATCACCTTGTAGTTTTTTTTTTTTTCAATGGGTTGCATCACCTTGTAGCTTATTCAATGCCAAACCTCGTAATCCTTTTAATGGTCATTCTAATTATATCCACACAATCTTTTATTGTGCATTGAAGCTCTAACCAAGAGAAACAATCTCAGTCACATCCTTAGGAGGAGGTTCTTGCTGAGGCGTGGTATCCTCCTGTTGTTGGCTCCCTAGGTTCATCCTGCCAATCTACACTTGGCAGTAGCTCTTCTTCAACTTCATTGTACAAACTACAAAGGCCTTCAGATGGTCATATTCTGCATCACAAGGGAAACTTTCACATGCTGAAGCTGCAAGCATAATTAACATGCCGAAAGACAAAAGGTAGAAGTGAAAACTCTTGGTGTATTATTTTATTGATCAGTTACATCAGTAAAACATTTTCTTATGTCAATGCTTCTGAAAAATGGAATTGTTTGTGCATGGGTCTTATACATCTCATAGCCACATGAAAGCCTTCTACTCTTTAGGTAATGCATGCTCTATTAGTTTAGCTGAAAAGGAAAAGATGGTGATTCAACTATTGGGTTTTGGTTTTGGGCCCATTCAAACCAATAATAATACGGGCGATTTTATTTCGAGTTGGCCCAACCCAATAAGTATAATGAATTGTCGAAAACCGATTTGATAAGATTTGAATCGATTTGGATCCAACCCAAAACCTTCCAATTGACAGCCTAGACAGAGGGTTGCAGAGGGTTGGGTTCCCATTTTGTACCACCTATTTGTATTTCTGGCTACAGGGTTTTTAATGATAGTTGGCACTTACCCCCCAACCCCACGTTAATCAAATTGACCAATGAATAAATTTTCACACATATATAGGACAAGTTAATAAACACCTTCTGATCACAATCAAATTATGACTGGATTTTTTCTGTCAAAAATTAATATAATTTGAATTTCCTGTTCACATTTGTTTGTCGGGGTTATTGTAGCTTGATCTCATATGTGCAACCAAAGGAGCTGAAGCATAGGTCCAAAAGCTCAATTACAACTACCTACCTACCTCTATTTTTATGAAAATTATTGACCGTTAACTTTAAAATCAGGTGGAGAGGGCTGAAAACAGAATACCACTTCATTGTGGTGGTAAGGAGGACCAAACTACAAAAGGGTTCACCACAGTCATATAAGAATCTGCATTTTTATTGGATTCTTGGGGCGGGTCATTTTGTAAGTTCATCCATTCATCCATGCATCACTATAACCATCATCATCACCTTTTTCATAGTCATCAATGTCAATGCCATTATTGTCACCATCTATTCATCTCTGAATGAACTTGAGAAACATTAACATATATAAGTCCGAGCGGACGGAGCCGCCTTCCACTTGAGGGATGAACACGGTCTTGTGAGCACTGAAGTCGATCTTCCCCCCCAACCTGTACCTTCCCTAAAACCACCCGTATTGGGTTGGATTTTCAGAAGTGAGTAGGATTGGCAAGTTGAGTCTGGAATTATCATCTAATTCCTTTTTATTTCCCATCATAAATAACACGAATAAACATCAAAATTTTCAATTATTTGATGGAAAGATGTATAAAACACAAACTATCAATTGTTCTTTTATCAACACAATTTCATATGCCTTCCAAAGATATATGGCTCTGAGCCGGAGGTTTAGTCCAATACCAAGCCTTCCTGTATCCATACTAATAAAATCCTAAAACTAAAACCTATTTCCACCTCAAAATCCATTAAGCGGATACCTGCTAGGTGATGGTAGTTGTCATCTCTGATCCACAAACTACCTTTTTAGTTAATAATTTAATATCTTGTTCTTGGCTTCTTGCAAATGGCGGCATTTGTGCTCCAATGGATGATGAGTTCACATCTTTGCCCCACAAGAAGCACCCCACAATGCCCCACAATACATCCCAACCTTGTATTGGGAACATCTCCCTATGCTCATCATCTCCCATATTTATCATGGAGAGATATGTTCCCAAAATAAGGTCAGAATATGCTGTGGGGCATTGTGGGGCGCAAATCTGAACTCATGGATGATGCCTATATCATTACTTGAATGGGTTCTTTTCATTCATCTCATCACCATTTTTATCGCTTTGTTATGTACAAACTGTTCATTAATTATTACAAAAGGCAATTGCATCAAGAATCTTACATACAGTAGCTTTTTATATAACTTTTCATAAAAAAAAGGCCATAATCCAGTGTTGGTCCCAGCAATATCGGGTCCTAGGTGGGAAGGGTGGACTAGATACAGTCTTAACCTTTGGCATTTATATTTATGCATAGTGATCGCTCTTGGACTTGAACTTACATTGTCATGTTTGTTAGCATTAGATTTTACCATTACATAGAGTATTGACCTTTAAATGGCATGTATCCATTCTAAGGGGGCACTTTTAAAAGAGGTATTGAGATACATTTTGGATATTCATGGATATAGTGAAAAAATAATCCAAGAATATGTAAACGAAACTTGAATAAAAATATTTAAAAAAAAAAACAAATATGAATTTTAGATGATAGTTTAGGTCATATGCCACTAATGTCCACAGGGAGAGTGCCCTAGGTTATAGGTTGTGTCTATCTATAGTAATTGCATTTATAAGTAAAGTTGGTCTGAATGCTGTACCTTTATAAAAAGTTACTAAAGAGCTTAAGGGAATTAAATGGATATTATCGAATTTGGATCCAATCCATTTGCCCCAAATTCATCTAAGTTTTAACCCCAACTATTTCAAAACTGCTAACATGAATTCTAATATTCTATCCCACCCATTACTTAACATATTCACAAAATGGCATAGTACTCTCAGTTATGAGCTAATCCGTTGGCTCTTCTATTTGCGTAAATAACACAAGGCTGGAGTCAACAAACATTTGAGAACAATTTATTAACAAATAAACATTTTAGAATGACAAAAAATGCATTAATTACAAATAAAAGCTATTTGTAACAAATAATTCAAATATCGTAATGTATTGATGCTTAACATACAATATGTATTGATCTTCGGGGTTGCTGATGCCACTTGGGATCTACCCTTACACAACCAAATATTAAGGGTGGATTCGAGTCGAGTCGAGCTAAATAGCTAACTATCCGAGCTCAGTTTGAGTCAAAAGCTCGAGCTCGACTCAATCTTGATTTGAGAAACTGAGCTATTCAAGCTCGGCTCGAATAGCTTAGTTGAAACTGAGCTATTATTATTATTATTATTATTATTATTATTATTATGTAGCTATTCAAGCTCGGCTTGAAGCTTAATTGAAATTGAGCCGAGCTTGAATAGCTTGTAAAGAACTCAACTTGTGGCCAACCCTATAATTAATAATGCGGAACTGGCATGTTCACTCATGATTGGTTGTGTAGGGTTTTACACAGTGTGGCGAGCAGTAGATCCATACTCCAACGATACATTGGTACTCAAAATTCAAAAGATGTATCAATTCTTTAAACCTTGGATGCAACCAAAACAAGCTAATGACCAACCAAAATAGGTCCATTTCTTTTCCTTTTTTTTCTTCTCTGTTTTTTAATCCTTAAATTTGCTGTCATTAGATGGATATATTGATTTATACACGACCAAAAATATCTTTATTTAACCCCAAGCTATTTGCAATTTTACTAAAGTTTAAGATTCCACATCCATGTATATATTTGCTATGTAGAAGAATAATATATATTACCAAAAAAGAAATTTCTATATTTTTTTTGAACTTTTAAACATTGAAGCTGGGCCTAAAATGGTACCAAATATATAGCTTTTCCATGTGGCTCACTTTTTAATGCAATTTTTGGATCCTGTGTTCTCATCTTTATATGAACTTTTAGTCTATTAGATCATTGTGTCCCTTCCTTTCCTTTTTTCCCCTCAAGGTTCAGCTTGATAAGAGTACAAACACAAATATGTAAGGTAAAAATATATACAAAATACATGGTATTGCACTCTACATGCTTGTATTTGTATTTGTAGTCCTTCCAAACCGAAGTTTAATGTCTTCAACAGAAACAAGTGAAGCCTGTAAGACATGATTCACAAATATTCCTTTTTTATAAGGTATAACCAGTCAAATCTTTCATTAAAGGGATGATGTTTATAAAAAAAAAATATATATGCATAGTGTACAACATTAACATAAAAAAGTATAAAGTTAGAAGTAACCAATATATAAAACTCCTTATCACTATTCTATGAAGGCCATCAACTCCCAATGTGTATATATCACACACATTATATAAATTATAGAGGATACTTGGATTGGTTTTGGCATAGATTGTCATAAAAGTTTAATCCAAACTAACATATATCATATATGGTTAATACTTATTTGCTTATGCATGCGTTCTTACACTAGCGACTAGTGTATGCATATAGTGTATGACTGTCTAAAAGTACTTGTAATTCAATGAATTTTATTCTTCTTTTTTCTTTTAAGCATGGATACAATCTCCCTCACTCATCTGACCACACGGGATTGGCATTGGTTGCCCCTCAAAAAATGAAGGCCCCATTTGGTTTGCTGGAATAAGGGTATGAAATTGGAATGGTCTATTTCAATTCCAACTATTTGGTTGGGCGGAATTGGAATCCCATTTCCATTATTGCTGGAATAGCATTCCCCAATTTGAGGGAATGGCCATTTCTCTACCCCCTCCCTTAGGAATGAAATCTCACTCATGTCAATTTTAATTCTCATTCTCATTCCTATCTGAACCAAACAGTTAATAGACTATAGGAATGGACCATTTCGATTCCGATTCCTACTATAAATCAAATAGATCCTAAGTTGGGATTTGTTAAACTTGTTTGTATTGCACTTGTCGTGCACTTCCGTTCAATTTATGACAAGTGTCCTACTAGATTTGTTTAAAATCAACGGAAAAGTACGGACAGGCCTAAATGCAGATTTTTGAATTCCCCTGCAAATCTATAAACATTCAGAAGGTCAAAAACCCACACTTTATGCCCTCATACCCACATTTGAATTAGCATCAATTCCAAACTGGCACCTATCCTAACTGTACTTTGGGCCTATGAATTCTGACTATGGATTGAATGGTCATTCTCCCTAAAATCAATGCATATGAGATCATACATACATACATATATACACAAATAGTTTTGACTATAATATTAGAAAATCTTGAAACCGGTAACGTTATCATAAGAAAGGTAATAACCAATCATATGGTATTTGGGCTTTACATAAATTAAATTGTATTTGTCAAAATTCACAAGAGATTTGGTCAAAGTCCTTCTAGTATCATATCTTCCCAGGTAGTTTTTCCTATGTCTTATAATGTCTATACATCTATATTATATAAAATGAATACTTATACATTTAAAATGCAGTGCTCTTATACTAATACATAAATGGGTAGAAATATGTTAATTCTTGTAACCAAACAGTTTTAAACTTGCAGGCGAAGAAATAGAAAGCTCAGCGTTGACGCGTGGAAAACACCGTGCTACTTCACCCCGTTCCATTTCTCTACGCATCGTTTCTCACACGGGGCCGTCTCCCAATAATATTGTGCCACGTACTACATATTCTAATTTCAAAGCTTTCAGAATTAATTCGTAATCGTGTAATTTCGTTTCAGCAGCATTAGAGGGCGAGCGAACGAGCGAAAGAAATCGTCTCTGCTTCGCGTTCCCATAAACAGAGACGATCTCCTCCTCTGTTCTCTCTATTTTTTATTCTTTTTTTTCTGTTCATTTTCGTTTTATTCTCCGCTGCAAGAATTGATTTCAGGGTTTGTCTTTTCCAAGTTCGAGATTCCTCTTTCTTGGGTTGAGGTCCTTGAGGATCGAAGGAGCCGTTTCAGCCATGTTCAAGTCCTTCTGGTATTCCGTCCCTCCTCCTTCTATTTACTTTTAGCCTTGTATCCTATTGGATACTTGATTTTGCATCTAATTTAGGGCTCCCTGTTACCTTCGAGGCTGAACCAGTTTTGAATTGTAAGACATCGCTTTTCCTTTTTGACCGAAAAGTTTAATCTAGTCTTTCTGTTTTGAAATCTTGCTTTTATTTTCTCTCAATTTTCATTATTTCTGTTCGGTTGTGTAATTAGTTGGTATTATGGTGCAATTTAACTTTTATGATTGTTTTGGGTTCCTTACTAACCGGAATTTGGCTTTTGGGTAATCTGCGATTCCCTATATTTGGATTTATCTACTGTTTATTATGATATATTTAGTAAAATGATGATTGTAATTCAGATTCTGGTTCTATATTTGGTTTATCATGTAATAGTAATACAGGTAATCTACCAATAATAAGTTTTTCTTTCACCATGATATGTAATTAATAGTTCTAATAGGTCATCACTAGTATCAATACTAACGCGCAAATATACGTTTTCAATAGCCTAAAGTAATACTTAATGCTATAACTTTCTTCAGCTATAATCCGGTAGTAGCTTTGCTGCACTAGCGGGTTTGCTGCATCTCTCTAGTTACTCAGTACTTCCATAGGGAATGTTGATATAGATTTATGGCTTCTAGTTCCGATTGGAAAATGAGGAACTAGATACGTGTGGCCCATGGTACCGTATTGCCATTCTTATTCTTTATGTACGCTGCTGGCCTGGGTTTAAAAGTATTTAAACCTCCTAACTCATACTTTATATGTTCTCTACCTACATCACCTTGTAGCTTATTCAAATCTAATAATCTTTGATATTGATGTCATTTTAGTCATATGTACACAATGCTGTAATTTATTGTGAAGCTCCCAATAAAAAAAATGTTGTGTTTTATTGTGAAGCTCCCAATAAAAAATGCTGTGTTTTATTGTGCATTGAAGCTCTAACACTGTCTAGTACAGGGGTTCTCAAGAGCAACAATCTCAGCCACGTCCTCGGGAGGTTACTGCACAGGCGTGGTATCCTCCTTCTGTTGTTAGCTCACCAGGTTCATCCCGTCCATCTACACCTGGCAGTAGCTCTTCAGCTTCTGCCAGCTTCAATGTACAAAGGCCTTCAGAACGGCCATATTCTGCATCACAAGGGCAACTTTCACATGCCGAAGCTGCGAGCATAATTAACTTGTTGAAAGACAAAAGGTAGAGGTTAAAATTCTTGATGTATTGTCTTATTTATCAGTTAGACGAGTTAGACATTTCCTTATGACATGCTTCTGAAAAGTGGAATTTTTTGTAGATGGATCATATATATCTAATAGCTACATGAAACCCTTCTACTCTAACCTTTACTGTAGGCTACAAGAAAGACGTTAAGCCTCTCCATTGAATAGATGACCCTTTGGACTGCCCGTCTGTGCGGTAGTGTGGTATTCATACTCTGCTTACCACCATGCATTGGACTTGTTCCTGGTGACTCCAACCATTGACATTTAAATAAGTCAACCATTGAGAGAGAGTTTTGGTTTTTCCACATTGGTAGGGTTTGTTGTGCTGCAACTACCACATGAAGAGAGGGTAATAAGGCAAACAGATATCTGCCTTTTGTAAATTTTGGGCCGGGTTCTGAATTTTTGATATCTTGAATGCCATGCTTATCAGGCACCTTTTTGAAATCAAACATATTTGCATAAGCTGTTACCTTTCTCTCTCTCTCAAAACAAGGAAAATATGTATAGCCTTTTTGGCCAATCTTTTAAACTGCAAGATTAGTATTCTTGAGATGTTCATGTGTGTTTACTAGATGATCATTTTTTTATCAATTACTAGATGACCATTTAACAAATCCATTCCAATAATTGACATTTTGATTTTCATTCACATTTCAGAACACTCTTCACAAATGTGATGCAACCAACAAAATTGTTTAGAATTGGTTCATGAGATAGTTTATAGTTATTGACCATTGCTTAGAATTGTATATGATTTTTTGTGATTTGAAACTTAGGAAGTTAAACTGGTTTCTTTATTATGCTAAGATAACCTCAAGTTTGGCTCAAATACCACTTAATAACATGTTGACAACAAATTGATGACATGAAATTGATCACTCTGTAGGAACTAGTTTATACACATGAAAAATGCAAAAGTGGTATTGAATTTGCCTCGATAAGATGTGAATAGTAAATTAGTTGTTGGTTAATTGCATCAACCAAACAAGGGTTTTGCCTAGAGGTATGGTTGAAGTGTGGCTGTGTAATTACAAATAAATATCATCTGAAGATTAATTGTGTCAAGGATTTATATGGGGAGAACAAGGTTAATGGATTTTTTAATATTTGCAGATAAAATAATAAATAATCCATTGGCATTTCTGGAAATGCCAATGGTGATTGATGATGAAAAGAGCACTATCACAAGATTTGGGGAGTGTATGCACATTCATGATTTCGAAAATGCATTTGCTAGGGTTACTTTTTTGGGTCACATGGGAGGCTTGGTTGCAGCATACTCAACCCCTAGGAATTGAAAAAATTGTGGTTGAAGGAGACTCAGCTCCTTAGGCACTCCAACCAGTGTTGTCAGACTATGACTGGACTGGATGGTTAATGAGGTGATTTAGTGACCTAGGACCTATCCAGGTCATGGTCAGAGCAAGCTAACCATCTGGATAACTAGTAAAACCGTGGCCCACTGAGCATTCTGGTTTTCTATCTTGTCCAAGTCATACAACATTGACTCCAAATATTGACCACCCAGACAAACATCTCATTCAGCTAGATTCGAAGATCAGGTAGCTTGTTAGCAGAAGGTTTAGCTAGGCAAGAAGTTGCTAGAGACTGTTTGATTGGTGGACTTTCTGGGCTAGTCATTGCATTCTGAAAATATTTTTTGGTCAGCCTGTATATGGCTGTTTTATATTTTGTTTATACTTTTGCCTCCTCTTCTCAATATTAGAACAGGAAGGGTTTGTGTATTTCTGAAACACTTATATGATTGAAATTCTTTGACTGTATTTACTAGTAAAGAAAAAAATACAGTGTTTATAAGGTTGTTCTTAACTGAGACTAAATCAGAACATTTGTTGTAAAAAATGTGACATTTTCTTTCCTTCCATAGAGTTCACAAGATCGCAGCTGGAAAAGTCCTCCTTAGCAGTTTGCCCCTTCTGTTCAAACCCGTGATTATCCACCCCTGCAGAAGCTGAAGGACTCTCAGGTGGGCAAGAATGTACACCAAAACAGGACCAAGCCATTTCCCACAATTGATGAGAAAAGCTACAATGGATTAAGAGGTGAGTGGAGGATTCAGGGACCTCATTGCATAAAGGACACAAGATGCTAGGAAAGGCATCCCCCTTCTGATCAGCCAGTCTGAAGTTAGGCATCTACCAAGAGCTGTAGTCCAAACTAGGAAGGCTGTTTTTGAAGGGATGTGGGGACTCCAGATTAAAGCCCAAGGGAAATCATTGTCCTGTCCAGACAAGAGGTTACTGTAGGAAGACTGAATCGAAAACTTGCCTGGACTCTCTCACGATCCAATTCTTTCATCATCAGTTTGAGAGTTGTACTTTATATTTCAAATGAGGCTAAACAACTCACTCATTGGGATTTCTTCTAAGAGTAGGGCCTCTGATTACTTCACCATTTCACCAAATCAAAGCAGTCTTCAACTAAGCTTCCATATCTTGGGCAGTATCAAAACGAGAGGGAAATCTTCCTCACAAATCAAAATTCTCACACCATTTATCATGCCAGAATTTTATATGATTGCCTTTGCCAACCTTGTACCTGATGCCCTTCAAGAAATCAGGATGAACATCAGGAATATTACTCCAAAGAGAACTCCCTTGTGGGAAAGCCAGGGGCCTGAGTCCCAATCAAGGCTTTTGAGCCCATACTTCTGCAATAAGTATGTAGTGATACCTTTTTCTAAAACTTTAGATTTCTACCATACCATTAGTACAACCTACCAATATTTCACAGAACTTTAATGAAATTTTGGTGAAACTAGGAGCCATGTTTTAGGGTATTAGAACTAGACAACCTATCAAGACAAGGTAAGACCTTTCAGACCTTTCACTCAAATTAGGAATGGGAGCCAATAGCAAACTGAATGAAAGAATTCAACCTATCAAGACAAGAAGCAACCCATGATGTCCAGATACCTGTACATGCCTAGCATAGTAGTGTCAAATATGATAGCGGATACTGCTTAGACACTTCTAGGTGCACTCTATGGCATTAACACTTTTAAAATATGTATTAACAAATTATACTAAAAAATCTGCACATGTTAGAAATTTAACTAAATTTGGAAAGACAATAATATTGAAAAATGGCATTTACCTTAAAAAACTAGATATTACCCATATCCGTATCCAGGATTTTGGAAAAAAGAGAGTATGATTATTTATTCATCAGAGTGGTTTCAGGAGTGTATTAACGAATTCTTGAGGTTGTATCTGCAGCCATTTCATTCTTATTCTAATATGTATTTGTAGGTGGTGATTATCATCTCATTCTATTGTTTTGTGATTGGTTTCCTATAGTGTTGATGAATTGCGAAAGCTTTTGTCTGACAAGGATGCATATAATCAATTATTGCTATCACTTGATCAAGTGAGAACACAAAACAATGTAAGTTGCAAAGTTCACTTTTTATGTTTGTCTGGCTACATTGAAACTCCTTTGTAATTTTTCATATATTTCTTGCTATACATAAAAAATAAGTTGTAAATTAACTGTATATACAGTGTCTTTTATAATTCTCCACTCAAGAAGAATATATTATTTTGCATGAAGTGTGGAATTGGTGTTGCAGAGACTCCAGTCAACTTCACAACTATTATTGCTGGTGTTGGTGATGTTGTTGTTGTTACATTATTGTTATTATTATAAGAATAAAAAGATGTGATATTATCAGGTCAGTCTAAAATTAGCAAGATAGAACAGGGATTTGACTCTGAATCATGCCTGAAAATCTAGTGCTTCAGTGAATGAGTCTGGAACCATCATATGGATAAGATAAACAACAAACCAAGGAAAGTAAAAGAGATAAGAACATGAGAGAATTATTCAAGTGCCAACTTTGCACCCTGTTCTTTCTCACCCTTCTGATTATAATATGATAGGATTTCAATGCCATTGGTGTAGGAGTACTTACAGATGTGCTACTGCAAACCTTGAGAACTTCTTAAGGGAGCAAGGAACTCCAGCATGACCTTTCAGTGAATAGGAAGAAATTGTATAAACCTGAAGATAATCTTTCATAAAGCATAAGAGAAACTTTTTTTCCCTACCTGGGAAATGGTTGTGAACATTTCCTCTTGAGTGGAAAAGTTTATAGAACTCAGTAATTAAGCATAGATATGTGATGCACAATAATGAATGGGATTCAAGGCCAGTAAACAATGCCAACCAACATGGTCATCTTTGTCTGTTTTTCTATGATGTATCAAATATGATGTTATTTCATCCAATGAAATCAGTCTGAGGAAGATTTGGTGGGTTGACACTGTCCTTGACTGAGTTCTTCCTAAACTCTACTTAATATACAACCTTTTTGGTTACCTGTTGCTTCTTATGCCCACTCTGATGCAACTAGTGTTTCATGAAATGTGGGTTCTAGTAGAGGCTTGAGACACTATTAGAATAATGATGCCTCAAACTATTTAGGGAATAGGGATTAACATTTGGCTTGTTTGTCTGGATATTCGGTATCAAGAGGAAGATCATATGGAGATGCCTTATACTTGTAATCTTGTAGGCTGTGTGGAAGGACTGAAGTTTGAAGTATTTCATATTCAAGCCCCCTCTTATGAGTTTGATGCATGTAAAGGGTCATCTATTGGATTTAAGAATTTGACATTTTTAGTGACATCTTAGTTGAGTTGCTGTTGAGAGTGGTTTTATTGAAGCAAGATTTCCTACTTGGATTAACATTGACATGGGGCAGGTGGTTCCTTTCTCATCAGCATGTTATTAGGCTTAATTTTGATGGAATACTCTTTGGGAAGAGGAAGCCCTGGTGCATGTATTCTTCTAGGCTGCACGGGATGAGTGAAATTTTAGAGCATTTCATACTCAAGCCCCTCTTATGAGTTGATGCATGTAAACAGCTATTTATTGAATTTAAGAATTTGGCATGTTTAGAGACATCTTAGTTGACTTGCTGCTGAGAGTGGTATTTTTGAAGCATGATTTCCTTGGATTAACATTGACATAGGGCGGGTGGCTCTTTCCTCGTCAGTTTGTTAGTATGCTTAATTTTGATGGAATGCTCTTTGGGAAGAGGAAGCCTTTGTGCTTTTGGGAGGTGGATTTTTTTGGGAAGTGTATTTGTGGTTTGTTTAGGGACAACATGGGTGTAATTATTCTATTTTTGGACAGGGTGGAAAAGGTATTTTGGTTAGGGTGAGCATCTTAATCCTTAGGATTGTTTTCATATTGTGTTTTGAGAACCTTATTGTTGAAAGAAACAACTACCAGAGCCTTCATTAATGAAGCGAAAGAAAATCTCTGCTATTAAAACCTGATAGCAGGGGGACAAAATCATATAGTATAGAGGGTGGGACTAGGTAAGCGGAAGAATGGCTTAGTAATAACACTCAAGGAGCCTGGCAATATTGCCATACCTTGAGGCAAGCCATTGGCATCAATGATTCATTTGCAAGGCAGGGGATTAACAGGGAACAATTGTATTTGGGGGTTTGCAATGCAGCTTTCATTCATAAGACAGAAAAAAAGGGTTAGGTAGCAGTTGATCACCTAACAATATGGGGCTTATACCATTACTCATCCAAAAATTTAATAAAATAAAAAACAAAATCTTACACCATTTCTCATAAAAAAATAAAAAAAGATCATACAGTACAATGTACACAGCTTAAAGCTGACAAAGCATACCTGATATGAGGATCCACCTGAACAAGCTATTCAGGCTGGAAAGTAAAGCCTTAGCCTCTCTAATGAGAAATCTAGGTGCCAAGGGCTAACCTCCATCAAGAAATCCAATCAATACAATGCAATCACCTTCAGCCCCTGCAATGGAAGTCTTCTCGGTATTTCACTTGAAAGCTCCTGTTTTTTTCACTTTAATGCTTAAATTTTCACTGGTGGGAAACTATAGATGGCTTTGACCTGGTTTCTGAGGAGTGAGGACAGGATGCCTAGAATCCTGGAGAGTAGAGAGCAATATGGCCTAAAATTATGCATTTTAGCATTTGGCGTCTCTTATTTAATTTTAGCTGATGTGCTTAAGCATGGAAGGATTGGTGCTTCTCTCCTATATTGTAGCCCATGTTGCAAAATATACCATCTAGTTTTATGACAGTTTAATTCTTAGAAAATATCTGCAAGTTCACTCTTCTCGATGAAGCTAGCATATAATGAGAGATTTGCAAGTATGGTTACGATGAATGGACAAATCAGTATCCTTGCCTTCATTAAGGATGTGCTGAAATAAGCTTCTATTTTGAGGCCCAAGGGGTTGTGTGAATGCACTTTGCTCAAAATTATTTTGTCTCTTGTTAATGGAAATTTGAAGTTTTTATTTCTAGTTTGGTTTTTCTTCTGTAATTGCTAATTATTATCTTTGAAATACCATGCTGCATTTTCCTTGGTTATTAATATTATTTGTCTCTTGTCAGGTACGGGATGAACTTCGGAAGGAAACTCTGCAGCTTGCAAGTAAGTTTTTGCAGATTTGCATGTACTATATTTTCTAGGTAGTTGGATCATATATAGATGGGAATACTAATACATCTTTTAAAATAGGGGAGAACTTGGAGAAAGAACCACGCATCTTGGAGCTTAGGAACCAGGTGAGCACTTGCAAACTCAGTTCTTTTTTTCATAGCTTGTGAGCTGGTTCTGAATTTCCGATGGTGATCTCTGTTTCTTGTATATGGAATAACAGTGCAGAATTATCCGGACAACAGAGCTAGCTGCTGCCCAGGAGAAACTAAATGATCTTGAAAGACAGAAGGAAGAAACACAGAAGTTCTTTTCTGCTTCTAGCTTGCTCCAGAAGCTTCAAGGTAAACAAAAATAGGTTTTGGTTCATTATCTATAATTAATAATTCAGTGAGAGATACCTTCATTGTGACTGGTAGAAAAGTTGTTTTGAGATGATTAATCTGGTTTGATTTGTGTAGAGGCAATGAACAAGGCAGAAGAAGAATCTGAAATTCTTCACAGGCAACTGCTAGATAGGGAGATTGACCTGCCGGCTTTCATACAGAAATACAAGAAGGTCCGGATAACTTATCATAAACGGGCACTCACCCATCTTGCAGCCAGGGCATCCTGTGTATGACTCAAAAAATGTGCAGAAACATTATTTTCGTAGTGTCCAAATATGTGCAGAAACATGAAGGAAGGGATGCTTGCTTTTTATAGTGTCTCAGATGATACAATTGCTTGTGATTGGATTGGAACAAAATGTATCTTATTTCTGCTTCTATGTCTTCTCAATTTGTGTGCCTTCATCCTTCTTTCTCTCTCCAACATGAGCAGCCTTTGAGGTTTTGGTTTCATTTGAATAATAGTTATTGGATGGCTGGAAGTTGAGAAAGATTCTGAAATTGCTTAGGAATTTTCCAAGGAAGACACAATTCACAAGCAATTTGAATTTTCCAAGGAAGACAATATTTGTGTCCAAATATTTAATTTTTGCTTTCTTCCCCCCCCCCCCCCCCCCAAAAAAAAAAGGCAGCAGCCAGCAGGGGTAGTACCACAAGTCACTAGCAATTTGAAAAGGCCTTACCTCTTCGTTGTGTGCTGTGTAGATGTACGGCTAAACAGACCTGGGCCAGGTCTAGACACAAAGCTTACACCTGCTTGGACCGGGCTAGTGAGGGCCGTATGAAAAAACTTTTGACAGTCCGAATCATGGTGGAGGATAAGGCCTTACCTCTTCGTTTCTGAAATTTTGCATGTTGGATGATGCCATGAAAAAGCTGTTTATGTACAAACCAACAGTAAGGTTCAATAGGAGAACTTAACAGTGGAGATGGGCCATCAACTTCATTTCAAGCGTGCATGCTGTAACTATTGTTGTTTATGGGGTAAAGTTTGACAGTCCAAAGCTCTATAAGGATCATTTTTACATAATGATGATCTTTTTTTATAATTCTAGTCACTAATTGTTCTTTTTTAGTGCTTTTCCTGTTTTTCTTTTTTGGGTTTTCCTATCTTATAACCCAAAAGGCCAAAAATAAACCTCAATATTTTGATGTGTTAAAACATTATTTTATCTGTTTTTTTTGGGGATTTTATTAGTTATTAAAATTTCAATTAATCACATTAAGGACATTATATGGTGTACTTAATTTTCATCCATTCACATTTTATAAGATATACTCTTTATTAAAAACTTTAGTAACAATATAACATTAAAGATGTCATTATGATATATCACTTTATCATTGATTCTTTTATTTTTTAGTTACATTCAACAATTTCCATAAAATGCACCATGGATTTTGCCTATAGTTTCAAACCATTTTAATCATGATATGCAATATTAATGTCATTTTAGTTCGTGTAGTTTATTAGTAAATTAGATACTCGCCCTTTGTAGTTTTGAGTCAAGTTACTCATTCTACTTATCCATAACGGCAGTCAATTTTAGTGACATAAAGTATTTGTGTGTGTTTTAAAACATTTTTAAGTCTATATTACCCTTTTATTAGTACTTTCTTATAACTCTATATGGGCAAAGATATTTTTATTCATACTTCTCAAAGGGACAAATATTTTTATCTACAAATATGTTAGGGCGATAATGACAAATTTTAAAATAAAATTTGGAATGGTGGAACTGTATATAGTGTCTATACATAAGAATACTTTTGTCAATCTCAAAATATATAATTTGGAGGCAAGACTAATATTTATTTATAAGTGGACCATATTTCTATCTTAGTTTCGTTTATTTTTTCGATTAATCAACTCCATGTAGTTTTACAATTTTATTTTGTTCTTTCCATTATTGAAAGAATGCTTCCCTCTTGTTTTATCATATATATACCTCAACCCTAAATTCTAAACTCCAAATCTTGTACCTTAAGTTATAAACTCTAAAACCCTAAAATTAGTGTATAAAAGGCATTTAATTGGATGCATTCCTCTAATCAGGTAGGAGTCAGTTCTTTTAGTAGTTTCATCAACAAAGGGAAGTTAATAAGTAAACCCAATAAAAGGTCTTAATTGAAAAGCTTATTGCTTTAGCCCTTTAGTGAATAAGTTTTTAAGGGAGTTGGATAGATCACTATATTCTTCAAAGATTTATTATTTAATTATTCTAATAACTAAAAGACAGCAAAAAAGGTTTTTTCAGTTTAATAACTTAAAGTGTTATCAAATAGCCCCTTAGTATATGACTCAAAGCTCAATAAGGTATGATATAAATAAGTGGTTGTTTTGACTTTCAACTAAGTTTATAAAGACAAAATTTATAGTTTTTTTTTTTATTTTTGTTTGATTAATGAAACAATACGGAAATGAGTGTTTTTGGGCTCGATAGATTCCATTTTAATTGATGTGACCGCAATTAAATTAGATAAAACCAATTATCTTCTTTAGACACGGTCTATAAAGACTATCCGATCCATAAAGAGGTCTAATCACATCTTTTGGCGTACATCGGAACCAATCAGTCACACACAAACAAACAGCGGACGCAGTTTGTTTGTACTGATAGCATTTCTGATTTCTGATTCGTAAGCAATACTACAGATATTTGTACTGATAGCATTTCTGATTTCTCATACTACAAACGGTCAAACACAAGAGAACATAATAAACCGGACGCAGTTTGGTCAGAAAACCACTGTCGACCCAAACAAACAGCGGTTCGAACTTCGAAGCAAACAGAGAAAGAGCTATCAAATTACCAGCTCTGAGCTCTCCTGGTCTTATTCTGTGGGAGACGGGTATCGAACTCGGAAGTTCGATGATGGAGAATCTTCCTCAATCGCTCTCTCTAAACCTTCCTTTTGCGAACCCAAATGCTTCTTCTGCTAACCCCAGCGCTGCTCTGCTTAAGAAACACCGTAAAATGGCTTCGGCCGAGCAGTTGGTGATCGATCTAAACAACCCTGATCTCAGAGAAAATGCTCTTCACGAGCTCTCAAAGGCAATTTCCTTTTACCTTTCACCCCAACAGTGACTGCATGCTTTGTTAATAGGAGGACCAACTTATTTTATGTTGTTAAACTTGTAGTCTCTATCTGTCATTCCTGTTGCTTGATTGTTGTCAATTATGTGATTTTATCATTTAAATCTATGAACTTTAAGGCACTGTTGAAAGCGTTTAATGTAGCAGATATATGCTGTTCCTCAAAATCTAGATAGTCTGTTATATTTTATTACTTTTAATTTCTGCGATGCTCAAGTGGCATTGATGGAGCTTGATTGAAACAAATTAAAAGTTATCATTCTTATGAGATGGAAATGGAAGGACTTTTTTACCATCTATATCTTAATGCATGCTTGTTGTTTTATGTTAATTGATTGATATATGCTCACTGGAAACAAAATCCTCAAATGAATCGCTCTTTGTTTTATGTTAATTGATTTAATGATCAATCACTCTTTGCTATGTTACAATAAACCGAATAAAAAAAATCCTCAAATGAATGTCTGGAAGGGATCTTATGTAGTTGGAGTTCATCTCAACCATTATCATGTGTATTTATCCATTTATTTGGAATAGGATCCATATGATGCTTGCAGTAGAGGGATAATTTTTGTGGTATGTAATCTAATGATTTTGGAATTGGTCTAATTGATAGAGAGGTAGGACAATTAAATTAAACGGTTACTATTTACTTGGTGTAATAATAAAATCTTGGGCTGGCAAGTGTAATGACATAGGTTTGAGGCGGAGGGCGGTCACTTTGTGTGAAAAAATGATGAAGGTTAGGACTGTACTCAGTCTATAGCTGGGACCAACATTAGGTACTGGCCTTTATTTTCATGCTATAAGTATTTGGAACCATGTGGATGGAGCAAATACTTTCCAATTTTCTTTTATGCATTGGAAACCATATAAATTCTCTCAATAAGTTTCATCATTTAATGTTGAGTAGTGCTAATGGTATGATGGCATAAGATGCACAAATATGTCTAAATCCTCAAAAAAATACAAGCCATAAATAATCCCAAACCCCTATTTATTATCACAAAAACAGCTGTTTAGCATTTTCCTTTTTGTTATATAGGGGTACAATAACTTATAGCCAGGGTTTTGTAGACTCTCCTAATAGCTGAAACGTCCATCTTGGACATGTTTTTGTATTTTGACACTACATAGATTCTTGAGGGATGCGTTTGTTTAACATATTCTTTCTCTCCTTATTTGACATAATTTAACAACTAATGTGCACAAGAAATTCCATTTTTTCCTGTAAAACATTATTAAGTAAATAAGATAAACTTTTAAACCTATTTTTCTGAGAGAAAGGTAACTGATTTCATTAAGAAAAGAGGAGGGTACACAAGGTGTACAAAATATAAAGAAAAGAAAAACAAAAGCAGGGATCAGACCCTTAGGAATTATACAGGAGGAAACTTATCAGAGTACAAATCTTCTAACAGAGCACCTAATTTTGCTAGTCCATCTGCAATAGCATTAAATTCCCTTGGAATCCAAATCAGGTTTGCATTAGAAGCAGTCAGTACCCTTGCCTCCATCAGAAAATGTCTGAGTCTCCATGGCCTGGTCTCTTGTTTTCCTAACCATATTATGGTGTTTGCTGAATCGCCTCCAATGGAGAGGTTCTGAATACCTAATCTGTTAATTATTCTGATCCCTGTAAGTGCAGCCATCACTTCTGCCTTGGTAGAGTCTGCTATGCCTATTGGCCCACTGTACACCCAGCAGATGTTTCCATTTTCATCCCTTAGAACTCCTCCTATGCCAGCAGCACCAGGGTTGCCTGAAGCACTTCCATCAAAACTTAGAGTCCAAAGGCCTTGCCTTCCAAGAATTGGACTCCTATAGGTGGGTGGGGAGGGAGGGGAGGAGAACAGGAAATTACCAGCATTCCTGTTGAGATCATTTATAGAGTCCTTTGAACTTATCTGTGCTGGAGGCCCACAGATTACAGAGGTGGTTAATGTGAGATAATAGATCACTCTTTGACTTAACCTTGTTCTCAAATAGCCGATTATTTCTTTCTTCCCACACTCCCCAAGGTACAGCATGCAAAACTATCTGCCAGTACACCTTTTCTCTCTTACTCAGACCTTTTCCTTGCCATTGATGAATCAGATCTTGTAGGTGATTTGAAGCCACCCAGCTGTACCCAACTAGTTGTAAGAAATGATTCCAAATAAACCTGGTTTCCTGACAATGAATGAAGAGATGATCAGTTGTCTCCCCTTCTCGAAGGCAGAGTATGCAGGCATGAGGGGAGATAAAAAGTCTGCCAAGACTTTTCTTTTTCAGAAGCTCGCATGTGTTTATCTGATGAAGATAGGCCTCCCAGACAAAGAAACATACTCCAGAGGGGATAAATTTGCACCAAACCTTCTTGAAAGGGAAACAACAGTCCTGCTCTCCTGCAAGCAAAACCTTGAAGAAAGATTTGGAAGAGAACTCGCCAACAGGGTGAGGTTTCCAAGCACGGGAGTCTAGGGAGTAAGGGGAGATGTAGACTTCTCTTAGAGAGTGGACAAGTTCAGTTATCACTGATCTCCGAATCCCTTGAGGGCCTTCTAAGTTTCAAGTTTATGTTACTCTCAGAGGGGGAAGAGGGGAGGCACTGGGAGATGGTAGCTTCTTTGTTAAGAGTGAGGTTAAAAATTCTAGGGTAAGAATCTGCTAAGGTGGCATTCTAGTACCATTACCCACTTTAAACCTTAAAAAAGGACAAAAAAATTTGTAGGTAGAGATGATACCTTTCCAGGGGCTTGAGGAAGCTACTCGGTTTGAATGAATGTTGCAGTCCCAACCATTTTTGTTCAACCCATACTTGCTGGTGATGACAGCTGCCCAGAGAGAAGTTGTTTCCGTAGGGAATCTCCAAGTCACTTTCCAAGAAGAGCAGTGTTCTTCTCCTTCAAGTGTCCAATCTCCAACCCTCCAGCCTCTTTAGGCTTACAGATCTGAGCCCAATTCACTAGATGACTCTTTTTCTTTCCTCCACCTTCCCAAAGGAAGTCTCTTTGGAGTTTTTCAATCTGTGTTCTGATTATAGTAGGAACCTGAAACACTGAGAGAAAGTATATGGGCAGATTTGCTAGAGCAGCCTTAATGAGGGTGAGTTCTCCCCCCTTTAGAGAGAAAGAAGCGTTTCCAAGTTGCTAGCTTCTTTTGACATATTTCCAATATTGGTTCCCAAAATCTTGGAATAAGTGAGGGGAAGGTTTTCCACTTGGCCGTTCAGAATTGCTTGGAAGCTTTCCAGAAGAGCTCCATCGACTAAATTTATAGCCACTATACTATTTGAGTAGTTAACCCTCAGTCCTGTGACTAGTTCAAAGCAGTTTGGAACCCTTTTCACATTTATTATATTCTCCATGTCGGCTTCCAGGAAGAGAATAATGTCGTCTGCAAATTGGAGGTGGGAAGCAATTAGGGCATCTCTTCCTACCTCAAAACCTTTAATTAAATTTAAACTTTTAGCCCTGTCTACAGGCTGGCTGAAAACATCCATTACCAAATTAAAGAGGAAAGGGGAGAGAGGATAACCCTGTCGAAGTCCTCTACTTGCTTTAAAATAACCTTTGGGCTCTCCATTCAGTAAAATCGAGAACCAGGTTGAAATGATGCAGCTTTTTATCCACTTCACCCAATTAGAACCGAAACCCTTTAGTTTCAGAACTTGGAGAAGGCAGTCCCAATCTACTCTGTCGTAAGCCTTTTCTAGATCAAGTTTAACAAGGTTACCCGGCCTGCCCCTCTTCCTTCTCTCTTCAACACATTCATTTGCTATTAAAATGCTGTCCACAATTTGTCTACCTTTCACGAATGCAAACTGGTTAGGAGAAACTAGATCTCTTAGGACTTCTCTAATCCTTTTTGCTAACACCTTAGCCAAGAACTTTTAAACCTTTTCTATACTTTTATATAGACCTGTCCATGAGTCCTTTTTTTGGCATCATTGTGTGCGATTCCCAGACGCATTCATGTCCATGCAACACTCATGTAGCTCCTTTCTGCTAGCATTTGTCTTTAATGTTATTAGCATATGGGAAACCATTCATGTCTTTATTATTTGTATGGAACAAACTATGGAATTTTTCCTCTTTGCTTTTCTTTTTTCTCAATTGATGACTGATTTTCCTTTCCAACTTTCAGAAGAGAGAAATATTTCAAGATTTGGCCCCATTGCTGTGGAACACACCTGGTGCTATTGCTGCACTCTTACAGGTATGCTTATTTCCCTTCACTAATGCTGGCCAGACTACTATGTCTTTGAATCGAGAGTGGAAGGCTTATCAGGAAAGAGAGAAGTATTTAGCATGGATTGGTTAAAATAACAATTAGATTTGAGTTTCTACTTCAAGGAAACCACTGGATTTGGAGTTAAGAGCTATGGACATGCCAAACTCCACTCATGTAGAAGAGTAGATGGTGGGGCCAATTTCTATGGTATATTAGATATTTAGATTAATACTCCACTTTTTTGTTTTACATTCCATATAAAATTTCAAAACAAGTCATCATGGATGGATTAACTTAAACTAGCTACAAGACAAAGGTTGTATGCAATACTAACTAAAACAGTTATGGATAACAAGAAACAATAACGGATGCAAACATAGGGGCAACAGTTTGATAAATAATCTCTACAATAATGGCTGCAATGCATGCTTACGTTAACACTTATTATTTATATAGAATTTGGTAAATAACCTTCGTAGGCAATGACTCACTGATTTATTAACTCAAACATATTCCCTTATCCTAATTCCTCTCCTAATCTTAATCTTTTTCTCATTCTATACATACGCGTGAATCCTTCAAATCCTTCCAAATGATTCTGTATTTTCTAATATTAATCCTTCATAATCATAGTCATAGATTTTTTTTTTTGAGAAAAGGTAATGTATTAAAGAAGGCAAAATGATATACTAAGCCCCGCTCAAAAAGAGATTGAAGCAGGGGAAGGAAACTAAAGAGCTAATTACATTTATGATCTAGATACAAAAAGAAATTGCTACGTACATTTTATTTCTTTAGAAATCATTAGGATTTTTATACAAGTTATGTACTTACATTTATTCATAATCTCTCTCTAAAATTGAGAAACTATTGTTAATGCATACATCACAAAAAGGAAACTACATATGTATGTATTTACAAATATGCACATGCACTCTGGTGACAAATCTTGAATCCAGGAGATATTAATTTTTGTTGCTCGTGTGTTACCTCAAGTCCTTGATTTTAATTTTTACTCTATGCTTTGGACACTTGGGTTGACTAGTGGTTTATCTAATTAGTTGGTCATCAATTAACCTGATCTGGCCTAATTAATGCTTTGTTTTCCCTAGCATCTGCATCATGGGCATTGATCAACTAGTAAATGATGCAGTATGATTTTGAACTGGTTAGTCATTCTCTGGTTGACACTTTTGCAACACTGTGTTTAAGTTAACTTTCATGCATGTTGTTATCCAAGTTGCTTCTTGCTAGATTTTGGTGTTAAGGAAGAAATAAGTTAATTAGGAAGGTGGAAATGGTGGCGTATGATGATTTGGAGGTTACAATACAACAATAAGATCTGAAGAATTGCTATGTTAGCTAATTGGATGCCATGAGTGCCAAATGAGGTGGCAATCAGTTACATATAACAAAAATGAAGTGACAATCAGAGAGGATTAATAAGGGTAAATAGGGGGCAAATGTACTGGGCTCAGTTGTAATTGTTGTTTTCTAGGGGTTTTTACCCCTTTTCTTGCATTCTTATTCTGCATATTTGTTTATATTAATGAAATGAATTGAGGTTACCTATCCAAAAAAAAAAAATCAGAGAGGATTAATCAATTCTATTAAACTCTTCTAACAAACTGGGAGTGCAATCAAGAAATTCAATTTCCAGCTAAAATTTACAAACAAGTCACATTTCACATTGGCATTGTATTCAATGCAGAAAACACTTTTTTAACTGCATGAAGAAAGCTTCAAATATAAGAAATTTTGAAGGAAAGGCAGGAAGCAAAATGAAGTTTTGTTTGAGAGTTGGATCAAAGTTGATGGAATGGCTAGTGATTCTTCCAGTTTTCAAAGACATGCCAAAAGAATATTTTGGGGCAGGTTTTTGGACCACTTTAGAAACGAAACCTGTTGGGGATGCTTGAGAGTTTTTTACTATATTGAATTTCTTTTGTTTTGATATCCTTCAGTTGGTGATTCCACATCACCTTATTGTTGTAACCCACTTTTTTATTTTAATGAAAATTTCATTTTTATTTATTACATAAAAAATAAGGCTTCAAATAGGGGCTTACCCATGAGCTAAACTAGACAGCATCTTAGGTGGCTTTTGATAAATCTGAAAATTCAGATTTGAAAAGTTAAAAAGATATTAAAAGCGTCTGAAATCAGAAAAGAGGCATAGATGCTTTTCTACTTTTTAGAGGATCTGAATCCATAAGTTTGCTTGTGTTGGACCAACCCTTTACCATCTGAAATTTACTGATTTTACTATTTTACCCCTAAAACATACTATTTGGAAATGTTGAATTCAATTTGCATTATCTCATAAAAATAATTTTCAACCTCAAAATAATATTGAAACAATACAAATAAAAAATAAAAAATTAATAAGTGAAACGATTAAAATTTTAAAAAAAAATTAATGACTATAAAAGTATTAAAATAATTAATAATTACTAATTAATAATTTACACAAATAAAAATTAAAATAATTTTTAAAAATTAATGAAATAATTAAAAATTAATAGTTAATAAAAATAAATAACACAAGTAAATTTAATAAAAAATATTAAAATAATTAATAATTAATAATTAATAATTAATAAAAATATTATTATTATTCATTGAACCACCACTGCACAGAGAGAGAGAGAGCCGCCATGGCAAGTTGCAGCGGCGGTGGCGGGAAGACAGGGCGAAGAGAGAGAGAGCGCAAGAGAGAGAGAACGAGAGAGAGAGGGGAGGGAGGGAGAGAGAGCGAGAGAGCCACTGCTGCAAGTTGCAGTGGCGGTGGTGGGAAGACAGGGCAGAGAGAGACGGAGAGAGAGAGGGAGAGAGAGAGAGCGAGAGAGAAAGAGAAAGAGAAAGAGAAAGAGAAAGAGAGGTCGAATGTTTAGGTTTTCTGGGTTTGGGGTTATCAGGGGTAACTCGTGTCATTTCCAAAATATTATAAGGATATTTTGGACTATAAACCAGCTCTGAAATGCGTCAGTGCGTTAAGAACCAGCTCAAGGTCTATTATTTTCAGATCTGAAAATAAGATTTAGACCAATTTTAAGAGGTAAAACCAAACAAGGGGTGATGTCTGAAAAGTAGCATTTTCAGATTCAGACCTCTGAAAAGTGCAATCAAACGACCCCTTAGCAAACTGAAATCAAAAGAATCATACTTCCATCAACTTTACCTTAAAAAATCCCTCATATTATGGGGCTTATTTGTTTTTTGATCCTTTTGTGGGGCTTATTTGTATGCTCTTTTTCAGTTAATAAAATTACCTTACCTTTTTTTTTTAAAAAAAAAACCCTCATATTAGTCCTCTGCACATACTTCCTCTAACCATGAATAACCTCTTTTACTTCCTTCATACTTGTTATTTTCGGTTCACTTTATAGGTCTCCACTCAAGTTACATGGGAAATTTGTCTATAGTACTCTAATCATCCCCAATCACTTGAATCCCTGCTGTGCAGACCAAGATTTCTCTTAGTGTTTCCTTTCCCCTTCTTCCACATCAATTCTGATAATACTGCTTTGATAACTTTACTTTCAGCCCTCTAAAAACTTCCAAGCATCTTGTAACATTCTTTACACCCAATATTTTTTCACCTTGCTTCTAGGAAGATAAGGGTTGTTGGCAAACTGTAAATTAGAAACTTAGTGTCCCTCACCACCTTAGATCTTCTGATCAAACCATTTGACTTTACTTCCTCAGCTGACCATTTATTGTTACTGTTATTGTATATTCACATCTTGTACATCATCTATTTGTTTTCTCACCTGGTTCTCATTTATTTTCTTGCTCTTAAACATGAAATTACTTAAGCATGATTTTTATGACTAATGTGGTGGAACTTATTGTTATTTGCAGGAGATAGTCTCCATATACACCTTCCTGTCACCGCCAACTCTTACACCTGCTGCATCAAATCGAGTTTGCAATGCACTTGCTCTTCTGCAGGTCAATTAGCTTAGTCATTCCTATCAATTGTCTATTTTTTAATTCTCTCTGAACTTATCTTTCTAGGATGTCCCTTCTTGGAAATTATTTCTTGTTTCTTGCATGGTGATACTCATTTAATATGCTGATGAGTTTAATATATGTTGGATTTACTTGGTAATTTTCAGAGTGAAACTTGGTATCATACTGAGTAATGCTACAGATGTGGTTCTCTTTCTCTTATACTGCATACATGTGCATCTTATACCACATATCTGGAACATTTGGTTTTCCCTTTGCAAAGCAAATGGTGGAGTCTTCCATCTAGTATGTCAAGTTTATTTGCTCCTAAAACTTTTGTTTGGCTAAAGAAAAGGGGAAGGATTATGTGGAGAAGCACCAGGGCAGCTATCACATGCTAAGTTTAAACTTTAAAATGTCAATGTAGTGGAAATGTCAGTCATCCAAATATAGGAAACATGTCAGAAATATCATATGGAAATATTGTAAAATTATAGAAATGGTGGAAACATTGTGAAATATGCACAGATATAGAATGATATTTTATGAAGTGATAAAAGAAACGTACACATTTAAATTATTATTATCCTGTTCTAAATCATTAAACAAAGCTAAAAACTAAGGTTATAGACAAAACAATACATTACGAAGCTGTCCTGTAAACCTTAAGGTCAAAACTACATTATAAAATGACTTCAAGCAAAATGTAAACTCATAGAAAACACAAATGATTCTAATAGATCAACCAAATAATCTATTATGCAAACAAAGAATAATATTTAACTGCATGTTGAAAAGAATATCAAGCTGGCTCAAAGTGGTGATCATGTCCATTAGGTGGGCAATAACATTGCTAGTCCACGTATCTACAATGTTGTCATCATCTTATGTTATAAATACTATCTCTTATTGTCCACATAGTACCGGTAACAATGTTTTCAAAATCAGACCGGAAAAACCAGGAACCAGTCACCTGATCAGTTCTGTTTAACCCCAAACTGCTTTTTGGCCAAAAACCGTTGATTTGGTCAGCGAACCACTGACCTGGGCGGTCGGACCGTCAAACCGTTCGACCCGGGAATGGTTTTGGCCGTTTTTTGTGTTTTTATTTTTTTAATCAAAGCAGGCTGCTCGTTTGGACCAGATGGATGGACCTTTTGACCTGGGAACTGGACCCCAGAACGGTTCCCTGTCCGGTCCGGTTTTAAAAACCTTGGCTGGTAGTGTTCACTAGGAATATGTCTACTCCAGTAAAATTTTGTGTCAGTACCCATGGAAATGGAAATATGACATGGAAAGGAGCTAGGAGTGAATTTTATGATCAGAAACATAGGGTACTGACTAGGAAATGATGTATTATGACTTGAATTGGTTAGTCATTCTCTAGTTGTCACATTACAATGGTGTGTTTAAGTTTACTTGCATGTGTGTTACTATCCAACTTGCTACCTAGGGCCTCCATGAAATGATAAAAGAAATGTAAACACACCTTTTAAATTGGTGAAACATAGGGCCTCCATGGAGGTCAAACACCTTCAATGTGATGGGAAAAATCAAAGTCTTGGTTTGGATTGGAAATCCAATTCTGCCTCAGTTCACTCTAATTGAAGCGACTACCTCTAGCATCATTTTATATGTTACTGAAAATCCATGTTTATATTCCCTATCTCCAAATTAATGAATGTTCTGGTAATTGTGTACTGCAATTTCTGTAGTGACAATGATCCTTCTTTGGTGGTGAGATTCCATCCTTCCCTCCTTGGTTAGACACCAATTTCTATTGGTAGGTTGGTCCCTGTTTTTCTTGTTTCTTGTTTCTACTTTCTTCACTTCACTTTTCTTTTCCATCCTTCTTCTTTGTCTGTTCTATTTCTGTGCAAGAACACCTTTAAAGTTACCTGCAAATTCGAAGTAATCCAGGCCATGGACATGCCACATCACCAAGTCAACGAACCTTGCTGAAAATATCCTGTATACACTGAAAGCAAATTAATGCATTCACTTGCACAGATACATACCAAAAGAAAATGGAGATGTTGCATTGAGATGTATGTCACAACTCACTACTTTGACTTGGTCTATTTTCTGAAAATATTCTGTATACACTGGAAGCAAATTAATGCATTCATGATTCATGTCCACATACAGATACATACAAAGAAAAAGGGAAAATGTAGCCATTGAAATGTTGGTCACAACTGTCAACTTGGTCTGTTTTGTTTTTACATGACATGTAGCTTTTAGTTCTAATTCTTATAACAATTTGAATTCATTTCTTGGAATTTTAGAAATGAAATTATGGGTATTACAATTTTTTGTGTTGCATTTCTTGCTCATTTTTGGCAAGGTTATCAATGTTTTCAGTTTATTTATTTTTGCAGTGTGTGGCTTCTCACCCAGACACAAGGACACTATTCCTGAATGGTAATTTTCCTAATTCCTTACAAGGAAACTTTTACTTAACTTTGGATTTAAAATTTAATTCACATCTTCCAATGTATTGGTACCTCAAATTTCTGATCATAAAAGCACAAAGTTTGTTTTCCAAACTGACCTGCTGCTCGTTTTGAGGTCAACTAGGTGGTTGACACTGAAGGGATTGATAAGAACTAGACCAGCTGGTACAGGGGGGGTACCAGGCATGCAGACTTATGCGAAACTGTGATGTATTTTTAGTGTTTCCAAATCACAGTCCAGGCTATTGTACTGGTCCCCTTCAGTTGAAACACTGAACTCTTGGGGCTTTTGTTTCCATGCTACATTTATAGAAATTTTGATCACTTACCATGGCTGATAACAAAGAAAATCCATTACCCAATTTTGGCCCCAGATATCTGGGGTCTTGGGTGGGGTGGACTGGATATGGACCTAACCTTTGTATCTTTTTTTTGGCACAAAGTGGCCACTCTCAGACTCAAACCTGTGTTATCATGCTTGTGGGCCCTAGATTTTACTGTTACACTAAGCAATGGGCTGATAACAGAGAAAATCTCAAACTCCTCAACCACCCACTCTAATGACCACTCCTTTCTTTCCCTTTGAATTTCTTTGAACCCTAAGACTTGCTTCTCTGAATTTCTATTGACATTTTAGTGCTTCATTCACTGACTTGAAATTAGAGTTTATCAGTTGTAGTCCTTGTTCAGTTAAATCGTACATTAGTCTAACTACTGTCAATATTATATCTAGTTATTCTAGTCATATTCACTCAACCTAATTATAGTTGAAAGTCCTGTTTTCACATTTCTAGTCTTACATCACCATACATGACATTGATGTTTTTTTAGTGGTAAGGTAATTTTCATTAAATAACATATGGTACTAATGTTAGGTGCTTTAGGTTAGCAAAGGAAGCCTATTTTAAGTTTCAACTTGTGGTTGTAGAAGAAAACTAGAAATGTTGAATTATCTCTAGATTTTTCTGTTGCTTTTGGAAATAACTTTGTTTGTTGGTTTAGCAACTTGTAGTAATATTTATCCTTTACTGCTCTGTAAGAACTCTAAACTAGTAATCAAAGTACTTTTCTATTATCACAGGTTATAAAACAGGAATTGTTTTTTCTAACCATGTGATTGGTATTTCAGAGACCTTTCCATTGTATTGTGATGGCTAGAAGTGATCAATATATTGGCATTCATTTACTTCAAATTGTAACTTTTGCTTGGATTATTATGGTTAACAATATTATGGATTGTTCTTTGCGGTTTCTTCCATTATGATGTATTAACATTATGGTTAACAATATTAGCCTGGTTAAAATTTATATGAGGTAACATTCTTTCATTTTTCTGATTTGTTCAAATTTCTTTCTTCTTTTTCCCCAGCACATATTCCTTTGTACCTGTATCCTTTCCTCAACACCACAAGCAAGACACGACCTTTTGAATATTTGAGGCTTACAAGCTTGGGTGTTATTGGTGCACTTGTAAAGGTACAATTTTGTATTTCAAAATGTAGTTTGTTGTTTTCTTTTATTTTTTTGTTATATTTACCTGAGAAAATATGTAGTTTGTTGTAATGTTTATGTTTCCTACAACCTATAGCAAATTGAGTTTTTTGGGAATGGAAAGTCAAAATCACTATGCATTCCTATGGGGGATCAAGGGAGTGGGTAGTGGAGTTTTCTCCAGGAGGCCTTGCAGTTGAAAAGGTGGCAACCAATGTTTTAAAAGCCGACCCGGAGGCTGACCTGCTTTTGCCTCTGGGTTTTGGATCACCGGTTTAACCGTTTGGGTTGAACAGGTCAGACCGTGCCACATCATCAAATCTATGCATATATACATGTATATATGCATATAGGCATGTATAAACATGTATTTTATCATTAAAAAATATATAATTATTTTGAGATGTTATATATGTATATATAAATATTATTTTATGTTTTTATGTTTAATTTATATATTTTAACTTTTTTATTTATAAAAAATGTTAAAATTGCAATTTAAGGCCCAAAAAATGTTTTTTTTTTCCAAAATAGAAGGGCAAGGCGCTTTCGACCCCTTGGGATTGGTAGATCTCAAAAAGTTACCCAAAATTAAAAAAAAAACATCAACCCAATTGGACATCAGAGTGCAAAGTTATGGCCACCAGAAGTTTGCACGTGCATAGATTGTGCAACCCATGACCTAGTGACTGGGTCAAACGGGTCGACAGTTGATCACCCAGGTCAGATGGTTTTTTACCAACAGACGGGTTTCGGTAGAACCAGATCCGGAATCAAGGCTGGGTGACAGTTCTAATGGTTCAACCGATTGGGTCAACGTCGGATTGAAAGCATTGGTGGCAATGAGATAGATGACATTGGAGTTGGTGAAGTTAGAGTTGAAAATGTTACTGGGAAACCTATGGAGTTGGGTGGACAGACCAAACCTGTTAGAGGGTATAAAGGTGTTCTGCTGAAGGCTGAAGATGTTGTTATGCTAACAAGAAACAGAGTGTGATACTTGGTTTTTAAAAACCTTTCTATGCCAATGCTTAGGAGGAAACATTGGTCTGTGAGGTGGAGGAAAGACCTAATCGGAGTGTCCTAGGCCAAAGTATTGCTACAATTTTCAAAGTAGAGGGTCTTTTGAATCTGTTGCCTTTTGGGGATAGATAGCGATAGTATTCAGTCTGGAGTTAAGGTAGAAGGCTTCAAGGTGGCTAAACCAGTGGGGATACACTACACAAGGGAGTCTCTTGGGAGACATCCAATAAAATTGGAATGATACTCTACACAAGGGAGGTTCTTGCTGTGGCCTTGGTTTAGAGAAGTCAATGCTGTTAAATGGAAAGGAGGAGACTGGAGAGCTGGAAATTAGAATAAGAGGACTTCCTTTTCACCTCTGGAACTTGCCGATACTAAAATCTATTGGAGATTGTTGTGGGGAGTTTATTGAGGTGTCTCATGAAACACTAGCACTTCAAAATCGAAGATGGGCTGCGGTGAATGCGAGAAGCGCCTCCCCTCACAATATTCTAAGAACAATGGAAGTTAGGTAAGGTCTGTTACTTTGTTTATAGTGGTGGTTGCCATTGAAGTTTTTTGGAGGGTTAATCGTAGATGAACAATCTTCTCCAGTGCTGGTGGCAACTGTGTAGGATGGTGGTGCTGCAACCAGTAAGGTTAGGGAGGATGGTGGTCCTGTGAGTGTAGCCTGATGGAGTTGGTCAAAGTCATACGGATGAACCTGTTGAAATTGAAAGTTTTTCAAATAGAGAAGAAAGAGCAAACACATGCCATTCAAAAATCAGTATTTAATTGACTCAGATTTCATATTAAGGATGGCTGTGATGACAAGGGAAAGACAGAAGGAAAGGATAAGCCTGTACATCTGAATGAAGTGGGGGAGGATTGTCGAAGGATGGTAGAAGGAAGGAAGGGGGTATTAGACAAACTTTTTTGGGGCCCACAGAGATCTTAAAGGAAAACAGAAAGAGCAGTTCAGGTACAAGGAATTGGCAAGATTGTTTGAAGGCTGGTGGTGGAATGGGGTCCTCGAGTGAACTGGGTTGGGCTGAACCAGGGAGGCTAAGGTTGGTCCAAGTGACCCCAGTGAATCTAAGGCGAGGGGATTTAATAAGGAAAAGGGAGGAAAGGCGTAGATAAGAGGAACTTCCATAGGTCTCAAGGGCCGAGAGGGTGTTTCCACTACAGAAAAAGTTTTTGACGCTGGCTATGGGGTAGGACTTACATTGCCCAACCCCCATGAAGAAGCATTGGGGTGGGGATGATGGATTTTCCTCATATGCAAGCTTAGGGATTGGAAGTATCATGAGCAACAAAGGTTGGTCTGGGAAGGCAAGCTTTGTTGGGTCAATCAATGAATCATACGAAGGGACCCTATCTCTGCTATTTGAGGATAGCAGAAGTAGGGAAGGGCATGAGGGGTAGGAAATAGTTAAGGTGATGCTGTCATAATGGAGAGAGGAGGAATTTGGCCTATGTCCTATTTAGGGCTTCCATTAGGGGCAAACCCTAGGGAGAGTATAGGTTTTGGACTCCAGTGTTAGAAAAGTTTGAGAAGAGATTAGCCTTGTGGAAGAAGAATTACATTTCTTTAGGTGGTAGGATCACCTTGATAATCACTACATCAGCGAACCTACCTACTTATTTTTTGTCTGTCTTTAGGATACCACCTAGGGAAGCAAATAAGCTAGAGAAATTAATGAGAGATTTCCATTGGGAACCAATACAATGAAAAAAAAAGGATTGCCTGGTTAAGTGGGAAGTTGTGTGTAGAAGTAAAGAGGAGGGGGGATTTGGGATTAGGAAAGGTGGTTCAGAAAAATCTAGCATTGTTGGGGAAGTGGTTGTGGCATTGGCCATTGGAGAGAAAGAGAGGTTATGGCATGAAGTGGTGGGAAGTATTCATGGCAGTTCAGACAATGGGTGGGATACTAGTGTATCAAGGCAGGCTAATTGGGCAATATTATGGAAGGCCATTCACAGTATTCTTCCTCAGTTTCTTAGGTATGTCAGGTATGGTGTTTGTTCTGGAAACCCTGTCTGAGTTTGAGAGGATATTTGGTTTGGAGATACCCCTTTAAAGGACCTTTTCCCTTTGTTGTATAAGAAAGAGGTTGTTTCAAACTTTCTCTCACCTTTGGGAACCCCCTTGGCTCTGAAGCCCAAACTAGAACTTTGGCTTCCATAGGGGTAAGGGATGAGAAATTGAATCCCTTTCTAATTTGCTCCATCTCCTAAATCAGGTTTGTTTGGATCCTTCTAAGCTAGACAAAAGGTTTTGGGTTCCTAGGTCCAAAGGGACCTTCTCTTGTGCTTCTTTTTTGAGTCCCTTTGTCAGTCTTCCTTTTGGCAGGTGTTCCCTTCAAAGGAAGTTTGGTACAGACCGGTTTCCCCTTAGATTATGGCTTTTTGTTGGGAACATGGGAAAGTAAACACTYTAGATAACCTACAAAAGAGAAGACCTTTCCTTTGTATCTCACCCTATTGGTGTACTCACTGTAGAGCTCGTGAGGAGGATTGCTACCACTCTAATTTCCTGTTCTCTTTCTGCCGAGTTATGGGATTGGCTTTTTTTTTATGTTTGGGTGCGGGTGGAGTATGCCAACTAGAAGTATACATGACCTTTAACCATTCTACCTTCAATTGGCCTGAAAAACAAGGGAGACTTCTGTGTAGATGTGCTAGAGCAGCCTTGATTTGGACAATCTAGGAAGAAAGAAATGCTAGGATCTTCCAAGAGGAAAGGAGCATCCGAGATTTGAAGGATTGTGTGTTGAATAGGGCAATACATTAGCTAAAGACCATGGAACACTTCCATCAATTCTCCTTAAATGATTTCTGGAAAAATTGGTTAGCAGTAGCAAGGTGCTCCTCCATTAAGAATAGGGCAATTACTAGGTTCCCCCTTCTAAAGGTTCACTGGAACTGAATTTTGATGGGAGCAATCAGGGCAATCCAAGGCTATCTAGAATTGGGGGGGGGGGCTAAGATATGATTGGAGAGATTGTATTTCTTTAATAGGGTCCCATGGGATTTGGGAATTCTATTTGGGTAGAACTACTAGCTGCCTTATAATGAGTGCAATTTGCAAATCAACTGGGTGTAGAGCAACTATTTATTGAAGGGGATTCCAAGGTGGTGGTGGGGTGGTTGAAGAACCCCAAGGATGCTGTGTGGTGCTATAAGAATGAAATCAAGAAATTTAAGTGGTGGACAAGGAATGAGTCTGTATCTATACAATGGGTTGGGAGATCAGAAAATGCATTGGCTGATGGTTTATCCAAGCAAGGGGCAAATAGTGGTAACCCAGGGCCTTTGGGTATTGGTGGTGTTTTAAGGAATGAGGAACGGAAAATATTTGCCTTGTTCTCTGGTCTAATTGAAGCAGGTGACTCACCGACTCCCTTAGAGCTGTGATCTTGGCAGCATTGAAAGGTACAGAGAGCCAATGTGTTAAATACAAGGAAGCTGATTATAGAAGGAGACTCCAAACTGGTGGCGGGCTGGTTGAAAGAAGACAAAAATGGTCTGTGGACTTACAGCAATGAAAAGAAAAAATTTAAGTGGCTGACAGAAGACATGAAGTGAAAGTGAATTGGTTTAAGAGATGTGCCAACTCTTCTGCTGATGGCTTAGCAAAACAGGGGGTGAACAGGGGTTTGTTTCTTGTCGGGGGAGATAAAAGAAGTTATGTCTTCCCATTGTATCCTTAAATTTCTTCAATGAAATCTTCTGTTATTGATCAAAAAGCAAGGGGAAAATAGGGAAGAAATGTTTTGGGTTCATCTGTAATGTTTGTTTCTTCTCTCTAGTTTCCTTACAATCTATTGGGAGAGGCTGCAGCTTGCACCTCTCCAAGGGCTGTTGTATGAGCTTAAAGTTCTATATTAAGTTCTGAAATAATAAAATTTTCTTTTTTATTCATAAAAAAGAGAGTATTTGTTGGTTGCAACAAAGGAGAACAAAGGATGGTGTTCCAGTTGGAAAGATTAAGAGAAATGATTAAAGAGAAGGAACGAACAGATGAAAGGGTATAGCTCCTGATTTAACATAGAAAGATATAGTGATCTATTTTTGTATACAAAAATCAAAAGAAAAGTAGAAAATTGGCTTGTTGTGATGAATACCATGACAAATGCTACTAGTTAAAGCCCTACCACAATGAATACATTAATTTCCTTTTCTGTTGTGCTTTTTCCCTAAACTCATTTATGGATCTCTAAATTGAAAATTAATTTATCATGATGCCTTTTTACACCCTTGTACCCTTATTTATACAATGCAATATGGTTTGGCTGCACTAAACCTAAAATTTGTACACCCTCACCCCAATGCAAAACACTAAGGCGATGCCTTTGGTTCTCTAATGCCTAAAAGATTATTTTTGTTATAATAAAGTAACTTCTTTGTTATTCTTTTGCAGGTTGATGATACAGAAGTCATTAGTTTCCTTCTCTCAACTGAAATAATTCCTTTGTGTCTGCGCACCATGGAGATGGGTAGTGAACTTTCGAAAACAGTAAGTGAAAACTTTCTTATTCCATCACAACTAGTGAGTCTTTCCATCATTTTTATGCATTTAGTGCCATTATTCCTTCTTAACTTACCATTGAAACTGAGCCATCTCATCTTTTGTATAGCTGTGTATCCTCTGTTATGCACTTCTTGCCTATAGCTAATGTAATTCTGTACTGTTTGCCTTTTGCCAAAAATGTATTTTTGCAGTTCCATAATATAGGGGTGGGGTTGGATAGGAATGCAACTTGGGTTGGGTTACCCCGAACCAAATTTAACTTCAGGTTGGTTTAGGGTTGAGGCCTTGGCCAACCTGAACCCAATTTAGCTTCATATTTGCATGTATAAATATCAAGTAAACATTAATTCATCTTTTTTTTTTGATCAATAACACTTTCATTAATTCATCAAAGAAGATTTACAAAAGGAAGACAAACACGCTTATCTTCCAAGAGCAACAAAGAATCTCAAGAAAAGGAAAAAAGAAAGAGAAAAGAAAGAAAACACACTAAAGTTACAGCTTGGCCCAAAAAAGTGAATCCCTTTCTGCTCCTTGTTTAG